GCGATCTAGTCCAACTATCCAAGGTAGATTTACCTCGACGCATAGCAACTTACGTGAGTATGATAAGTTTTGCCCAAGTTTATCGTTTATTCCGTGTGCTGCGCCGCTTAGGCATCACATACAAGGTTGAACTTTTACGTAAGATGCGCACGCATCCTACGTTTTACATCTGCCGCTTTACTACATATCCTTAGAATGTTTCTTCTACCGGTGTAGAATCCCTTGCAATCAATCATCTCCAAATAAGAGGAACTCATCTTCACAGTGCCGACTATTAGCCCGCGTCTTAAGCTTGGATATCTCTCCGCAAAATCAGGAAATATCCTGACGAGCATCCGCATGCTCGTCACGAAGAGAGCGTGAATCCGCTCATTATCAATCTTGGCAAAAGCAAGTCTAGTGTATCATTTCCTGGGTAAAAAAAGAGACGGTTTACCTTGTCGACCAGACCCAGACACCTACTCCTCTCGTTTTCGAGCCCCTCGCGCAACTCACTCATTATGCGCTCGAACTGACTCTCAGCATCAGACTGGATCCGCAAATCCGTCTGAGAACGGGTTTTTTCTACGCCTCATCCAATGACTGGTGCGCGCGGTAGCCTATGCTTCCTCGTGGAACGCTTGCTGAACGATCGTCATGTGAAGGGACGTCGGACGAGTTACATCGTCAGGTGGCGCGGGTATCCACCTAGTTTGGTGCCTTGCTATTAGCCACTGGTTGATGTTTTGGGTCTTGTCGAGCATTACGACAAGGCGCAACAGATGCCCAAGGAGGCTTATCGGTATACGTAAGTCCAGCGCGCTTGTAGAGAAATTACAAATTAGCTATTCCTCGTACATCGCTTAAGTGACACGTGCCCTCGACCAGGGGTCAGTCATAGGGTAAGCTTCTTTTGGAGCTCTTGCCAAGTTGCTCGCACAACATTGGAAGGTATCACATTAAGAGAGCAATAGCAGCCCGGCCTCTCTTAATATCGATGCAGTTTAAAATGTGCACCATTAATCTATGCTTCACGTACCGATTATGAGCTAGCAATAGTTTGTCTAGCAAGGCACCATGCCCAATCTTAACAATGTTGTAAATAGAAGCGTTCCATGTCTAAATCAACGAAGGACCATCACGCTCGTAATTACTCATATACCATCGACGTTCAAAGAATGCATCAGTAATAAAATTGTGTTCGTTGCGAAAGTTTCTCGCGTCAGGATCAAGCTTACGAAGGCTACTTGATTCGAATAATCCTATTCGATGACAATCACTCTTCGTGTCAGACGGACGAGCTAACATTCTATGAGGAGGTAGCCACGGCTTCTTCTCAGGAGAAACGCGCCAGGTGTTGCCATCCTCAGCCTCTTGCATGGTGTCAGCAGAAGTAATGACACCATGATTATTCCAATCACCCAATCTCTGATGCATGAGTGCATCACTGTCAAGATCGTCCTCGAGGATAGAGCCATCGTCTTCCTCACTCTTAACTGAACGACTCCGTCTTGGAGATGGAAGGTCGGACTCGTCAAACGATCCAATGATGTCACGACGCTATGCTATCATTTAAGCGCTTAGTGAAACCGACTTAGTCGGCTAGTTTAGATAATTCTGGCTCATCCTTGGCTTTTGTTTCCCTTTGAGTCGGTTTCACCATCAGACTCACCAGTGTAGATGATCATTAACGCATAAATTCCGATGCCCTGCTATGAATCACCGCGCGCACCTGCATCAATAACTTCTGCAGTCTGAGTCGTGGAAGTAGCAGACGAACTTACGTCAGCTGGTTTGGGTGATCTTGTCTCCCCTGCGGCAGTGGAGCCGAGTTTCTTGCTGCGTTCTCAGCAGTTTTAGCTGCACACCGCATGGACTTGTTCAACATGCGATGAGAATGAAGAATAGATGGACTGGCCAAAATGTGCCTTCCTGTCCCAGAGCCGCTCATTAAAGCCACTCAACCAGTAAACAGTCACCTTTTTGACTGATTATTAAACGGGTGGGTGATGTAGCGGATTGCCTCCGTTTCATTATTATCTACATAAGGCAATTGTTTGGTTTGGAAACTGTGGTAGGGCAAACACAACATTCTTACAATTTTATCCTAATAACTTCGCAGATGTAATACACTGCTCATTGGTTGATATAGGACCAATGTCAACCTAAAAGTCTAGCCATGACAAAAGCACGCAATTATCGGTGGGCAGATAGTTACAATACATGTTTGTACATTGAAACAATTAAATGAAGTAAAATAGGGATTTATTAATAGGGATTAACTAAATTAAAAACAGTTCTGCTTTTTATCTTCACTGCGTACTCTTACTCCGCATACCAATCTTCCTCTGCACGTACGTGAACGTGAGGTAGTCGGACGCACACACCCTTACGATTTCAGCAGTGCAAGTTTTACAGTTTGATGGATAAAGTGTGCTCCGTTACACTGCTGTTGTTGCGGGCCCGAAGGGTGAAGCCATTAGTGAGTGGCCGAGTTTTTAAATCGTATTTAACTATTCGTGTGTGTGCATGTCTGTAAATAATACGGCTTGGTGTGGCTTACCTGGACTAAGTGCGATCTAGCCTGTCCCTTTCTCATTGGCATTTGCATAGTAACTCCATGGATAGATCAATAGTGTAACGGGGCACCCTGAAGCTTGTACTGGTGACAGTACAAGCTACTTATTCTGATAACAGAATAAGGCGGTGCCTCGTAACTTCACGTACACTCGTACGTGCAGAGGAAGACGGTAAGAAGAAGCGAGTACTTGGTTAGAGTAAAAAGTAGAACTGTATTTATAATAGTTAATGTCTGCAATAAATCACTATTTATCTTCATCTAACTATGTCTAAATACAAATGTGTAAATCAGTTATCTGCTCACCACTCATTGCGTGCGTCTGTCGTGGCGCGTCTTCGTTGGTTGATATAATGGCCTATATCAACCAATTAGGAACTACTTGGAAGTGCTAGAGAATATTGTCCTTATGACAATATTCTGAGAATATAACTCTTATAGTTATATTCTATTAACAATTTCTTATAAATTGTTATGTAACGATTCACCCCGTTACATCACCCCCCCCTTAACCATCAGTCACTTTAGTGACTGATTGACTAAATGGATACTCATCCCAAATCATTTGGGACGGGGTTTGCACTTGTTGGTCCGCGTCCACTTTCCAACATCTCATCGCATGGTAAACAAGCCCATGCGATGCGCGAGCAAGGCCGCCGAGAGCGCGTCTGCACGTCTCTGTGCGGACGCCGAAGCAGAAACTACAGCAACTGATGTCCCGTCGGTTGCTGAATCGACTCAGCCTGTATCACCTGGTGATGCAGGCGCTGGTCATGAAGACACTCGTGTCTCCACAGAGTACGAGCTCGGTGTCTCGTACTCTCCTGATACGGATGACGGATCCGTATCGACGGCAATTGAATCCAAGCCGCCTGCCAAGCGTGGCATGGACGATGCTTTGCGTCGCAGCATCTTTGGTTCATCTGATGAGTCAGATGAACCATCGCCGAAGCGAAGGCGCTCGAGGTCGCGAGACTCGGGCGCTAATAGTGGTGTCGTTTCTCCAATGGACACCACTTCACAGCGAGGTGCCAGTACTTCTGTCGGCACGTCGCAGGAAGAGCGGGATCGCAATGTGTTGCGTCTCGCTCCAGAAAAGAAGGCATGGATGCCTCCTAAATCTGTCATGGATCACTTGTCGGCGACGACGAGTGATCGTTATCGAACACGATTGTTCGATTCGTCGAGGATTCATCACCTTGACCCCAGCGCGAAAGACTATCGCGCTGAACATGAGTTCTTCATCGATGCTTTCTTCAGACATCGATGGTACAGTGGGAATCACAAACGTGATGGTCCCTCACTACTTCAGGCGTGGAACGCCTACATCCATAATCTCGAGGATGTAGGTCGTGACGCTTGGAACGACAAACTTATCAAAGCTCGTGATAAGTTTGAAAAGCGAACCCCGACAGGTGCACGCTACAAGCTGCATCGTCTGTCAAGGGAGAAAGGATTACCCTGCCTCTCTTGGGGAGACTCGTGCCCATGTTGTGTGAACAACTCTGCACGAGCACCTAAGGAGGCTTACCTCCTTACCAGCCCGTGGTGGCGCGTACGTGTCTCTACTGAGATGTACGAAGGGATTGACAACCTGAAATCCCTTTACGACCGTGCCGGGAAGACTTTCTCCGGCGGTCCTTCTGCGGCACAGGATGTGTCGCGTCGTACTGCTCGACCAGACCCAGTACGTCAACCATCAATTGGGAGCGGGGCTCCCAAGAATCCCAGGACGGGGGATAGCCGCGCCACCGGACGAGGTAACTCGTCCGACGTCCGTTCACGTCGCGGTGGTTCAACAGCTGCTCAACTAGATAGCGCTGGCCACCGCGAGAGTCCTCTAATGGAGGTGGAGGAGGAGGAAAGACGCTCTCCACACGATCATGTGGATCGGTGTGTTCCCGAGAGCTTCTTTGATCGCGTAACGCAAGGGTTACGCGACGATCTCGAGTATGAGCGGAATAGGCGTCTCCAGATGGTGGACACTGTCTCGAGGCATCGAGCTGAGTTTGCCTTTGCTCAGCTTGAGAACGAGAGATCTCTGACATCTCTTCGTGACGAGATAAGGGTAGCTCGTGGGATTGTTGATCGGTCTCGGGCTGAGATAACTGCTCTTCAGACCCTTGTTGATGCCCACCATCGGGAGCACAAGGCTCTCTGCGAGATGCTTGAGCGCAAGGGCGTTCTTCATCGGAAGAAGCAGCGTACTGATGGTACGGCTTAAGCCGACCAACGTAAAACGTGGGATGCGTTCGCATCTTACGTGGTAACTCGATCGTGTATGCATTGCCTAGGCGGTGCAATACACGAAATGGGCCAATGTACTTGGGTAGTAGTTTACTGCTACCCAAAGTTAGTCACTACATGCTTTGGTAGATTAACCGTAGATAGTAGGACTAAGTCACCTTTATTAAATAAAAGAGTGTTTGCCCTTCCATTCTTGTCAGCGTTTTGCTTTTTGCTTATCCACCGCTTCGGCGATGGAGTCTTGCACAAAACGGACTACCGTTTCACGAGCCAGTATGAACTCATCTGATGACTCGTTAGCTTCAGTGTGCTGTGAGCGCACTGCAGCGACAACAACCTTTTCTTCAGTGAGGGCTTCCGCACTCTCACTGGCATCATCTTCTTCGATATCGATGTTATCGATATCGGCATCAAACGCAATGACTTCTTCGTCAGAGCGTGATGAGCGTGAACCAAATCGGTTTTTGCTCGCGCGAGTCCCTCCCCCCCTTAAACCAGAGTTACACTCTAGTAAGGTGGGTACACGCGGATGGCGCAAGCCATTCACGTAAAACGGTGTATGTGTCGTGGACGCATGCACCGAGTTGTTGATGGCAAACTCTACCATCGGCAAAAACTCACTCCAACTCTTAAAGGAGTGTACGTATCCTCGAAGTATCTCTTCAAGGACACGATTGGCACGTTCCGTCTGACCATCTGACTCTGGATGATCAGATGTTGACATCTTCAAGCGCGTTCCGAGTGATTTGAACACGGAACGCCAGAAATCAGCAGTGAATCGTGGATCTCTGTCTGATACGAGTTCACGGGGCAACCCATGAAGTCGGAAGATGGTGTCAATAAAGACACAAGCACAGCCACTTGCCGTGATTGTCTCTGGTACAGCCACAAGGTGTACCATTTTGCTGAATCTGTCAACAAATACGAGAATACCCGTATTCCCGCGTGCGTCTTTGGGTAACCCGAAGACGAAATCCATTGAGATGGATTCCCAGCACTCAGCCGGAACCGGTAGAGGCTGTAAAGGTGCACGCAGTGAAGGACTTGACTTCACTCGTTGGCAGACTTCGCATGCGCGAACATACTTTCGCACAAACTGATACTGGCGGGGCCAGTAAAAGTCTCGACTTACCGTGAGATATGTTTTCTCTCGGCCACGATGTCCTCCTATAGGAGCATCGTGATACTCGAACATGATCCGCAAACGCAGATCAGTATCATCTGGAATGACAACACGTGGTGTGTCACCAGAAACGGCTGTATAGTACAGTAAACCGTTACGAGTAGTGTATCGATCTGATGCAGATCGATACGCAGACGACAATCGTTTCAACGATTCTCGAGATGGTTGGGAGAGATGTGACAACAACTTCACTATCTCACCATCTTGGGCGTATGCCCGCCTCACATCATCATACAACGTTGTAGATGGAACTGAGGATGTCATAACCGCAACAGTGACTGTCTCACTGTTGGGTTTCGCGACTGTTTCAAAGTCGGGACGACGTGAGAGTGCATCAGCGACGACATTAAGTCGTCCTGGTTTGTACTCGACCGTAAAGTTGTATTCTGCAAAGAATGACAACCACCGCGCCATTCGTTGTGAAAGGTGCGGGCTGTTCACTGCCGTGCGTAAGGACGCATGGTCAGTGTAAACAACGAAGGGTCTATCTCCTAATAGATAGACTATGAACTTCGCGAGTGCATACTTCATGGCAAGGAGTTCCTTTTCATGCACTGGATAGTTCCGCTCAGCTGGTTGCAGCTGACGCGACTGATAGCAGACGACGCGTTCAACGCCTTCAAGGTCGTACTGCATTAATGCACAGCCGATTGCGAAATCGCTGGCATCACAGACCACATGAAATGGCCTGTCCTGATCGGCTATTGCTAGGACTGGGAATTGTATCAAGCTCTGCTTGATACCCTCAAAGGAGCGTTGACATTCAGCGTTCCATAACCACCTCTCGTTCTTTTTCAACAAACGAGAGAGGTGCACAGTCATCTCGGCGTAATTGCGTGAATACTTATGCAAATACGCCGCTAGCCCAAGGAATTTTCGAAGACCTTTGACATCGACCGGCACGGGCCAGTCGGTGATCGCCTTGATCTTTTCGGGATCAGGACGTACACCGTTCTTACCAACGATGCACCCAAGAAGTGGTATTTCGCTTGCTGCAAATATACACTTCTTGAGGTTTGCATACAATTGATGCTTTCGCATGATTGTAAGAACTTGTCGGACGTGGTACTTGTGAACCTCAACGTCCGACTTTCCATCCATAGCTCGACTATGGATGAATACGTCATCGAAATAACTCGGCGCGAATTCTCGTACTGGCCTCAACAGATGTGATACACACCTGTTGAACGTGGCAGGGGCATTACTGAGCCCTTGTGGCATTACTAGCCATTCCCAGAGCATGCCGCTAGGCGTGCTAACTGCGGTATAGGGTATATCCCGTTCCCGCATTAGGATTTGATAGAAGCCATCCATCAAATCCATGGACGAAAAGATGGTACTCTTTGACATACCATCAATGATTACGTCCTTCCTCGGTATCGGCGTCTGAGCCGGTACCGTTGCAGCGTTCAATTTGTTAAACGCGTGCACTATCCGCCACCCTCCTGTTGCTTTTCGCACACAGAAGGTCGGAGAGCTATGTGGGGAAGTTGATTCCCTCACATGGCCCGCTGCTAAACGATCGGCAAAGAACTTGTCGATCGCAAGTACTTGTTCACGAGGCAGTGGCCACTGCTTCATGACACAGTACTTCGAGCCTGGTTTAAGCTCGACTTCGTGTCGAATACCTTTATCCTTCAGTAATTCGCACGGAACAGTTTCAGGGAATACATCCTTGAATTCAACCAAATCTTCATAGAGAGGATTTTCCTTGAGCGATTCCCATGATTGGGACTCATATCGCTCAATTCGTGTCTTTTCATCTAGGGCACTCTCGTCCATAGATGAACTACTGAGAACTCTCTCGTTCTCAGTAAACACTGTTGCTGACCTTATGTCGGTTACATACTCGTCTTCAGCGACGAGTATGCAGATCTGCTTGACTTTGCCACTACGCAGATCACGCAAGAATCTTTTATGTTCGAGCGTTGGCAACTGAGTGATCTCCGAAGTTAACTTCGGAGGCGCAATCAGATCAAGTGTATAAGCGCCTACACATGATCCGTTATTGACTATGACATTCAATGTCTCTGTCATTTCCTGGGGACTTATTCCCTCAGGCTTCGAAGGACTTATTCCTTCGTCTTCCCGGGGACTTATTCCCGCGGGTTTCGGGGAACTTATTTCCGCCGTATTTGTAATCTTGGGACTTATTCCCTTTACTTCCTCTAGCTGGGGTTGCGCAACCACAGCGAGATCCTCTACGAAAGACTCTCCAGTCGATCTAGGATTATCGTTTCGCTTAACCTGAGCGATTGATTGTTTCTCTTCTAGATGTTCCCCTCTAGGGATACATCTTTGTCCCAGTCCACCCGACTTATTCGAGTGGTGGACCTTCGGCGCAGCCTGTGTTTCCTCACAGCCGCCGGAACTTTGCTCCGAAGTGTAACCGTTTGGTACACTAAGGTTTTGTGCAGTCGTACTAACGACCGTACCACAAGTGAGGCCATCGCACTCACTCGTAGTACATCCACACGCTTGTGGACTCTCCAAAACGTTCATCAGATGGCCATCTGATGAACAAGCGGCAGGCATCGTTACTGTCCGATGTTGCCAGTTTACCCGTGGTTCGTACCTTCTGAGCCACGGTATTCCAAGGATGACATCAAATTTGTCATCCAAATCCAATACGATAAAGTCATCGTCGTATTGGGTATCTTGTAGCGTATAGTGAATCTTCACTATACGCTTCATGACGGTTACGGATGCGCCTGTCGCAAGACGTACCGTCATCCTCGTAGGAGGTGTGTCACATTCACTGAATTTAAAGTGACCATCTTCTAGCGATTGGCGTCGCACAAAATTGTTGGACGCCCCACAATCGACTAGAGCTCGAAGGGACAACTTATTCGTCACTTCGAGTTTCAAGGTAATGAGTGAGATCTCATTACCTAGAGCAGCAACGCACAATGTCTGTGTGTTGGGAGCAACCTTCATCAAGAGGCCTACAAATTCTCTTGACGTTGCTGGATCAGTAGGGTGCTCCGCACCTACTGATCCTGTCCGTTTTTTGACGGTCCATCCCGTTGTTGCGTCTTTGCACCAACTGCGGACCCTCGTCCCTGCCCCTTTCTCATGGGTGGACGGTCACTACGCCCAGTGTCGCGAGACACTGGACGAGGGGCACTACACTCGTAAGCGTAGTGTCCTGTCTTTTGACATCTGTTGCATCTCTGCAACTTCTTGTAGCCTGTAGAGCGAGCCTTCTCGCTCTCTACATAACAGAGTTCCATCGGCTCTGGACCTCCGTTGTCATATCGTCTCGGTTGACGATATGATGTCGAGCTGGCGCGAGCCTGTCTCAGACTGAAGTCTTCCTGCTCCGCAATTGAAATGGCTTGTTCTAGTGAATCTAGTTCAAGCCGGAACAGGTGAGTCTTGACGGGACCATCCGCAAGACCCTGCATGAACACCGAAACCAACGTGTGTTCATCCACCGGATTGGAACTTATACAACTCGTGAGATGTCGTATATGTTGAGCGTAAGCGTGCACATCACGCTTACCCTGCTTGAGCTTCAAGAGTTCGGTTCGAGCTCTGAACTCAGCTCTAGGCGGTTCAAACGTTTGTCTGAGCCGCGACTTGAAGACTTCCAACGACCCAAACGCATATGGGTCGTGCAGCTTGAGCCCCAGTGCCCAAGTCTTGGCACGTCCTGCCAGATTTGACTGGGCAAATGCAACTTGCATATCCCCGTCGTCGATGCGACGCGCCCTTATGGCGTCATCCAATTCGACGAACCATCTCAAGAGGGAGTCTTCTTCGACACCCCTATACTTTGAGATGTCAATCTTCAAAGTCTCGGGCCGACGCGAGTGCATCGACCCGCCAGCAGCAGCCTGCTGCTGTCTCAACAGTTCAAACTGTTGAGCACCTTGTTCTCTCAACAACTCTGCTTGTTGAGAACCTTGTTGGTGAAGCAAGGCTACTTTCTCGCGTTCTGCGTCAAGTTCATTTTGAATGAACTTGGCGATAGTAGCATGTTGGGCATCTCTATTGAGAGCCTCTAGCATGACGCTAACAGCATGGATGCCCATGGTCGAACCCATTCGTTCAACCGCATCCCATTCGACATCGCTCAAATGGGAGTAGCCGTCACGCGTAGCGTGAAAGCTTTGGTCATCTTCATCATCCAACATATTCATGTTGGATGTGAACGCGGTCCTTGGACGGACTACGAAGTGCTACCAGGTGTAACGGGGCACCCTGAAGCTTGTACTGGTGACAGTGCAAGCTACTTATTCTGATAACAGAATAAGGCGGTGCCTCGTAACTTCACGTACACTCGTACGTGCAGAGGAAGACGGTAAGAAGAAGCGAGTACTTGGTTAAAGTAAAAAGTAGAACTGTATTTATAATAGTTAATGTCTGCAATAAATCACTATTTATCTTCATCTAACTATGTCTAAATACAAATGTGTAAATCAGTTATCTGCTCACCACTCATTGCGTGCGTCTGTCGTGGCGCGTCTTCGTTGGTTGATATAATGGCCTATATCAACCAATTAGGAACTACTTGGAAGTGCTAGAGAATATTGTCCTTATGACAATATTCTGAGAATATAACTCTTATAGTTATATTCTATTAACAATTTCTTATAAATTGTTATGTAACGATTCACCCCGTTACAAATAGTGTGTGCATGCACCTGATAGATTCAAAATCGATCAAAGGTGAATATGATCACATAAGCAAATGCTGGCTGCTCATAAAGCAAAGGCCATTCGCGTTGCCCAAGTCTACTATGTACTCTGTTAATTCAAAATTAGCAGCATCATGCTCTTTCTTCTGTGACTGCTGCTGTTGCATAGTGTTTTGCAACTTGATTCAATTTATCGAACTGGATAACTAGAATCAAAGGGCGAGCTCTAGAGCTTGTCCACCTATTGTATTTACGTAATTCTACACGATAAAAAGTAATGCTGTGGCTACGCGGTAATCTTTTGCTAGCTTGTGCCCGTAGCCCTCAACCACCGACTTCTGTAAAAAAGAATGCTGATGCAAGGATACGCCGTCTGATTGGGGCAGCGCACGTGGCTTTCGCGAAACAATGAAGATCTTACCGCGACTGGTCTGCATCGTCAGACCTGATCATCTCCGATTTTGTGCTCACAGCCTAGCTCCAGCTCTCACTACCTTTGTAAGTGCATCACCCGTTACACCCGATGCATCACCATCACCACCAGCACGCCCGGTGGACACGGTGGCAGTCGATTACACATTACACACCACAAGGGTCGTTACCATGGAACAACGTAATCCCTGGCTCACACGCACTTTGTCCACCCCGCTGCCTCCATTACCACTGACGTCCGAATAGACGCACGATTTCGTTAGCGTCTACTGCTCATTTCCTCGTTTGATCACGATGGCGCCCAAGCAAAAAGCGACAGAGCGCACGCCGCTCGTCCCTGTCACGCCAACTGCTGCAAACGGACACGACGGCAGTCTCTCCCGACCACGCTCGCCAATGCGCCGGGCTCCAGCGTGGCAGTGCTGGAGTACCACGTCTCCGTCCCATCGCTTCTACCTGTTGATCCTCATGAGCTGCATCCCATTCGGTGGCCACTTTGTCAAGGTGTGTTTCCTGTAGAACAGTTGCTGCATCTCTGGTCGAAATAGCTGATTCTGATTCCTGATCTGATTGGGTGTCATTCTGATCCCTATTCATGGTATGTACGTGATACACAGAATGGCATGTCGTCGCTCGAGCAGCTCATGCTGGACGATAAGGATTTTCCGATCACGAACGTAATGTACGGCGCGCTGCTGTCGGCCGTCTCGGTTCCCAGCATGTTCCTGCCATTGCTGGGGGGCCGACTTTTGGACAAAAGCGGCCACCACAGCATCCGTTTTTTTCTCGCCTGGATCTGCGTGGGTCAAGCTATCTTTGCCATCGGCATGCAGCTTAAGCTCTACTGGCTTGCACTCTTTGGTCGCGTCTTCTTCGGCGTTGGTGAGGGGAGTGTCGTCGTTGGTGCACGCGTCTTCATTGCCTCATGGTTCCGAAACAAGGAGCTCACTTTTGCCATGGGTGTCAGTGTGGCAATCGCGAACGTCTCCAAGATGCTGGCTAAAGCCACAGTCGCTCCCATCGCTCTCTATTTTGGTGGATACGTGCAAGCTCTGTGGTACGGAGTGGCTGTCTGTGTAGCGTCGGCCCTCATTGGTGTCCTGGTATGTTACCACACGCTGAACTTAAAGCGCATCGTCGAGAACCGCGTGATTAGCGAGGAAGCTTTAGACCCAGATTTCCACTGGCTGAACGATTACGCCGAGAAAAAGCGGCATGAACATCGTTGCCGAGAATCGCATGCTCGCACCAAGCGGATCTCATGCGATAGTGTGCATGACTTCTCGCGCATGTTCTGGATTATTGCCATGCTGCACGTGAACTTCATCAACGTCTTCCATCTATTCCAGAACGTCAGTGCGAGCTACCTTTTCCAGCGCTATGACTTCTCCATCGTGGAAGCCGGCGTAATGAGCAGCTTTTCTCACTTGTTTGTGGTGTTCGCGCCTGCCATCGGTCTCGCCGTTGATCAGTTTGGCGGACGCAGTCTGCTTATCATCCTGGCTGCTATGGTGTCGATCATGGCTTACGTGCTCATGATCTTCACGGAGATCACCCCGCTCCTGTCGATGCTACTGATTTCCATCTGCCTGTCGTTCACACCGACTATCCTGATGGCTGCGATCCCGAGCTCCGTGGGTTGCAAAAGTTTTGGAACGGCGTTTGGCATTGTTGAGATCATAGACGCCGTTGGGGCCACATTCGGCAATCTTCTGGTCGGATATTTGCGCGATGAAACGGGTAGCTACCGCAATGTCATGCTCATGCTCTTGGGCATGTCAGTATTTGTACTGCTGCTTGCATTCTTCCTCGTCTTTGAAGACAGTCGCCAAGGCTGGCTGCTTAGTGCTTCCCGTAGACGTTCGCGTTTGTTTACGGGCGACGGCGAAGATTTTGTGGATAATCCAGCAATGCTCGAGGCTCGTTATAGCGCCAACGGAGAATCGCCTCCAGTACGCGAGGGGCGCACAGTGTAGGCACGGGGTCGTGTACTTGGTCGTACCGATTAGTCGGTTGACCCTCAGAACGAGTGTGACGAATTGAGTGCAAGTCGCTGTGCCACCTGCCACGCGACAACTAAGTTGTCAGCGCGCGAGTTTCGCGATAGCTTGGACTTCGTGAGGAAATGATGCATTGCTGTAACATGTATTTAGTTCACAAGAACACGGGACGATGAAAGACAACTGGAAATTGCTTCTACACAACGCGGATAGATTGAGCTGCTGCGTTGTTCCAGGGATCTGGGAAGCTAGTGGATATACGACGAGAACGTGGCACGACAAGCGCGTAGCATAGTGCGGAACTGTTCGCGCAAATAAATCACCGCCAAGACAAGCTACGGCCTCGTCGGACCGAGTGAGTCCAACTGAAAATGGCAAAGCATTTACTGGATTAAGCAGGTGGATGTCCTCCAGAAACCAAAGTGCAGCTCGATCTTTCTGCTACGTCCCTTGAAAGTTAAATAGCCGCAAAGCTACGCGAGCTGAGAGATACATAACTCTACACGATTCTAGATATACTATACGGGGATGGTCCACCTTTCACTTTTTTATTGAGGCGAAGAAAATCTCCGCCGCCTTTGTAAACACCTAAAGCTCCGGTACGTCTGCCTTCTCCCTTGTTTCGCTTTCTACCGTCACATCTTCTCTCTTTTTTCTCTAACAATCTATCTATCTATCTATCTATCTATCTATCTATCTATCTATCTATCAAACTATCTATCTATCTTGATATCTATCTATCTATCTCGATATCTATCTATCTATCTCGATTTCTATCTATCTATCTCGATTTCTATCTATCTATCGCATCTTCTCTCTTGCTCCCTAACAATCTATCTCTCTGTCCATCTGGCTCTCTGTCCATCTTCTCTTGTTTTGTGTGTGGTAATCAGACGTGACGCTACGCAAGCAGGCAGAAGAGTTCCTGAACAATGCGCTGCAGCAGCAGATGGGACAGCTCATGGTGACGCTCGTCCAGGCGCTGGCGGCCGAGGACTTTGCCGTCGTGGGTCGCCAGGCTGCCGGTCTCTACCTCAAGAACGTGCTGGACGCCAAGGACGACGCGCTGCAGCAGCAGAAAATCAACGCGTGGATGGCCATTGACCCGGCTCTGCGCACGCTGATCAAAGATGGATCGCTTGGTGTGTTGCAGTCGAGCGACCCCGTGGCACGCCACACGAGCGCGCAGCTAGTGGCCAAGATTGGTAGCATCGAGCTGCCTGCCAAGCAATGGCCGGCGCTGCTCGAGTCGCTACTGCAGAACGTGACGAACAGCAGCGAGGGCTGCATCCACGCCACGCTCGAGTGTCTCGGCTACTTGTGCGACGAGCTGGAAGAAAATACCATCGACGAGCAGGATACTAACCGAATCCTTACGGCTATTGTGGATGGCATTCGTGCCGATCGACCGCCGGCTATTCGCCTTGCAGCGGTCACGGCCTTGCGGAACAGTCTGGAGTTCGTGAGTGAGAACTTCAAGCGGAAGCAAGAGCGCGATCACCTGATGCAGAAAATCTGCGAAGCCACGCAGTCTTCGGATTTGCGCACCCGTGTGGTAGCCTACGAGTGCATTGCTGCCATTGTGACAATGTACTACGAATACCTGGCAGAGTACATGGAGACTCTGTGCAAGCTGACGTTCAACGCTATTACGAGCGACCAGGACGAAGTGGGCCTGCAGTCGCTTGAATTTTGGTCATCTATGTGCGATGTGGAACTCGACTTGATTGAGGAAATGAACTATGCAGAGCTTGAGGGCCGCACCGATTTTATTCCCTGCAACTATTATGTGCAGACAGTGCTAAACACGCTCATCCCTCTGCTGACCGAAACGTTGAAGAAGCAGGAGGATGATCAGGATGAAGACTCGTGGAATCTCTCAATGGCTGCCGCGACGTGCCTTGCACTGGTGGCCCAGGTGGTTGGTGACGCTTGTGTGGACCTTACCATGACGTTTATTACGCAGAATATCGAGAGTAACGAATGGCGGCCGAAGGAGGCCGCTATCATGGCTTTTGGCTCGATTTTGGACGGCCCCGAATCGGCCAAAATTGCTCCGCTTGTGCGTCAGGCGCTCGGCTTCCTGATGAGCTGCATAAAACTGACTTGCAGTCGAACTAAGCACGTGTTGACTCGGACTTTTGATTCCATTCTGCTCGTGTTTGCCTTCAGCAAACACTGCTGCGTTGAGTCAATGGGGTCAAATTGCGTGTGAATTGATACTCTGTCTGCGATATGGGCCAACTTAGTCGGCACGAATTTGACTTCGCCCCTGCTTCTAGTTGCTAGCGCATGTGGACCTGGCTGCTCGTGTCTGGAGTCAGTAGGAAGTTGGAAGATGTCGCGTTCATAGAGAAGACGAGAGAATGGGTTAATTAATTGCACGACGCATCCGACCCCGCTCGGCTGTTTCTCTATTTGTCTGTTTCTCGTCGACGTAATTGCATCGAGTAAACCGGTACGCTTACGCTATGAGCAATGAGGTCAACAAATACGTTACCTGTCTAATGTTTAACCAGGGGTGTTTCCTACAGAAGCTGTTCGAGATCCACGGGCTTGAACACACCTTTCAATGTTTCCAAAAACACTGCGCCTTGCGCGATGATTATCTGGTGCTTTCCAAATGTATAAAGTTGAGACCCCATTAGATTATTAAAGGGAAACGATAACCGCCCTCCAGGTTTTCGCTAACCTCTCAGTACCTCTATTTAGATACGAGGGGTTTAGCTCTGAAGCTCCCCCTTTAATATTTGTAGTCCAGTTCGATAATTTGAATCAAGGTGCGAAACACAATGCAACAACAGCAGTCACTAAAGAAAGAGTATGATGCTGTTTACGTCTGTATAAACAGAGTACAGTTGACTTAAGCAACGCGAATGGACTTTGCTGTTGAAAGTTTGACGATCCCTGTAACGGGATAACCCGTTTCATGATACGGACACCAAACGGCGTCAATAGGGATATTGTCTAGCATGACAATTCCCTACTAATATTATTCGAGGTGGATAATATTTAAGGAATATTATCCCCTTTTTAGATAATTTTCATGCGCTACTCCAAGACTAGTCGATAAAAGACATGTCAACCGTAGATTACCACCAATCGCTGCTAGACGCGCGCAATGAGTGGTGAGCAGGTTGTCGTCATACGACGACGTAGTTTAGTATACTTAGATACAGACTGAAGTTATATTGATATCATAACAACACTGAATACAGCTCTCTTTTTACCCTTTACTCAAACTAGCTGTTTAAGTAGAATAGCTTCCTCTGCACGTACTAGTGTACGTGAAGTTTCGCGGCAACCCGAACAAAGGGTGCCCCGTTACACCTGGTAGCACTTCGTAGTCCGTATAACGACTTTTAAGCGTCCGTCCAGCATGAACATGTTGGACGTAGAAGACGACAGCTTCTACGTCACACGTGAAGGCTACTCCCATCTGAGTGACTCAGATTGGGAGGTAGTCGGCCGCATGAGTGTGCTCATAAGCAAACCCGCCATTAGTGGCATGTTGGAGTCCATAAGCAGAGACCAGCAACATGCTGCTATCAGCAAATTTCTACAAGGGGAACTTGCCGTCAAAAGACAGAAGGTAGCCTTGCTACAGCAGCAAGGCTCTCAACAGTCGATGGGCTGGCCGACGCACACGCGTCGACCCGAAACCGTGACGATAAATATCTTCAGGTATAAGGGAACCGAAGAAGATTCCCTTTTGAGTTGGTTCGTCGAGTTAGACGACGCCATCAGGGCTCGTCACATCGAAGGTGACGAGATGCAAGTCAACTTCGCCCTGTCCAATTTGACAGGACGAGCAAATACTTGGACCTTGAGGGGAAAACTTCACGACTCACATGTGTTTGAGTCGTTGAAGATCTTGAAGTCTCGGCTTAAAGAAACGTAAGCCGCCGAGATCCGAGTTCAGAGCACGCTTTGCACTCTTGAGACTCAAGCAAGGTAAGCGTGATGTGCATGCCTACGCACAACACCTACGCTACCTTGCGAGTAGCGTCACGAAAAACCCTGTTTTTTTAGCACACGCTCATCAACGTGTTCATCTACGGCCTTGTGGATGGGCTGGCGAAGACCTACATGTTCCAAGAGGACTTCCATACGCTGTAAAGGCGATAGTGTATGCGGAACAAGAAGATTTCAGCCTGAGACAGTCTCAGGCTAACTCGTCAAACTATCGTCCTACGAGACGACAGGAAACAGGAGGTCCCGAACCAATGAACCTCTGTTACATCGAGAGCGAGAACTCTCGCTCTCTGAGTCACAAGCGATCGGCAAGGTTCCATCGCTGTCAGAAGAATGGACACTACGCTCATGAGTGTAGTGTACCAAGCACCGCATCACGTCCAAAGACAGGACGTGATGACCATCGTTGGCCAAGGAAAGGTTCAAGGCGCGGGTCCGACCATGTCGCTAAGTCGCGACAGCAAGTCGGACCGCCAAAAAAGGGTCAGGGTCAGTAGGGTCGGAGCAACCCTGCTGATGCAGCAATGTCATGCGAATTTGCAGGACTCTTGACGAAGATTGATCCTAACACACAGTTGCTGTGTGTTACTGACTTTAGTGATGAGTTGTCCATAACGACTTTGAAAGTCGAAGTGACAAGTGGAACGTCACTTCGCGCCCTGGCTGAATGTGGGGCGTTAAACAGTATTATGCGCTAGTTGACTATGGGGCGCCGAACAGATTTATTCGACGCCAGTCGCTAGAAGATAGTAGACTCAACTAAGTTGAGCGAGAGTTCCCTATAACGAGGATGACGGTGTGCCTTGCTGCAGGCGCATCCGTAACAGTGAACAAACGTGTAGTGGGAATCCACTACACGCTAGAAGGGAAGCGGTACGATGATGAACTCATCGTACTCAATTTGGAAGATGAATTTGATGTCATCCTCTGTATGCCTTGGCTTGAAAAGGACCAGCCATGGATCAGCTGTCAGCATCGATCCGTGACGATGCCTACCGTTTGTTCATCAGGTGGCCATATGATGAACGTCTTGGGGCATCCACAAGCGTGTGGATGTACTACGAGTGAGTGCGATGGCCTCACTTGTGGTACGGTCGTTAGTATGACTGCACAAGATCACAGTGTAGAAGGCCAATACACTGTGGAAACAGCTTCCGGCACTTGTGTAGAGACACAGGCTGAGCCGAAGGTTCACCACTTGAAGAGATCGAGTGGACTGGAATACGGGTGCACACCAAATATGGTGCATCCGAGAAGAGAGGCTAGTGTTGTTCAGGCTGAACAACACGTTAAAGCGAGATCGACTAACAGAGAGTCGATTGTAGAGCAAACACGATTTACTGAAAGAGAGTCGATCGAAGAGAACGTGACTGTGGTAGTGCACCCACAGTCAGTACACGTATTGGAAGAAAGTTCCAGCGTTCCTGAGAGTGATAACTCCCGAGAGAATCATGTTGAGGGGGTAAATCCCCAACCACCTGCGGATGTGTTTTCCTAGGAAATCGCCGAGACAGTGGATGTCTTGGTGAATGACGGATCAAGTGTAGACGCTGATACAATTGATCTGGTTACACCTCCAAAGTCAGCCTAGGAGGTAGTCAAGTTGAAAACGCTAGAATCTAAAAGATTCTTGCGAGATCTGCGTAGTGACAAGATCAAGCAGATCTGCGTACCCGTCACAGATGACGAGGACGTCGCCGATATTCGGCCGGCCCAAGTGATTTTTGAGAACGAACGAATCCTTAGTAGCCCATCGATGGATGAGAGTGTCCTCATTTAGAAGACCCGGACTGAGCGATACAAGTCTAATCTTGGAATTTCTTAAAGACAAATTCTTTGTACAAGGATTTGGTTAAATACAGGGATGATTTGCCAGAATCCGTGCCATACGAGCTGTTTAAGGACAAAGTCACTCGGCGTGAGATCGAACTGAAACCCGTTTCGAAGTACTGTGTCATGAAGCAGTAGCCACTGCCTCGTGAGCAGGTCACAGCGATCGACAAATTCTTTGCCGATGGCTTAGCAGCTGGTCATGTAAGGCTATCAACATCCCCGCACAGCTCTCCAACCTTCTGTGTGCTAAAGGCGACAGGAGGGTGGCGGTTAATGCACGCGTTCAACTAATTGAACGCTGCAACGGTACCGGCTCAAACGCCGATACCGAGAAAGGATGTCATCATAGATGGTATGGCAAAGAGTACCATCTTTTTGACCATGGATTTGATGGATGGATTCTATCAGAGCCTCATGCGTGAACGGGATATACCTTACACAGCAGTGAGCACCCCCCGTGATATGCTCTGTGAGTGGCTAGTGATGCAACAGGGGCTAAGTAACGCCCCCGCAACGTTCAACTGATGTGTTACGAATCGGTTGCGATCGGTGCGCGATTTCACACCGAGTTACTTCGACGATGCCTTCGTCCATAGCCGGGCTATAGATGGAAAGACGGATGTGGAGGTTCATAGAATCCACTCTCAGAAAGTTCTTACTCTAATGCGAGAGCATGAGTTGTTCGCGAACCTAAAGAAGTGTATATTCGCAGCGAACGAAAAACCACTTCTTGGCTGCATCGTGGGTAAAAAAACGGTGTACGCCCTGACCCGGAAAAGATCAAGGCGATTAGCGACTGGCTTGTGCCAGTCGACGTCAAGGGACTTCGAAAGTTCCTTGGCTTGGCGGTGTTCTTGCACAAGCACTCGCGCAACTACGCCGAGATGACCGTACATCTCTCTCGTCTGTTAAAGAAAAATGAGAGGTGGTCATGGAATACTGAGTGTCAGCACTACTTCATAGGTATCAATTAAAGCTTGATACAATCGCCTGGGTGGGCGATTGCGGACCATGACAGACCATTCTACGTGGTCTGTGACACAAGCGATTTTGCAATCGGCTGCGCATCAATGCAGTACAACTTAGACGGCGTTGAGCGCGTCGTCTTTTATCAATCGCGTCAGCTGCAAGCAGCTGAGCGAAATTATCCGGTGAATGACAAGACACGCCTTGCCCTGAAATATGCACTGGCTAAGTTTCGGGTGTATCTCTTAGGAGATAGGCCATTCATCGTTCATACCGACCATGCGTCGTTACGCACGGCCGTAAACAGTCCATACCTCTTGCAACGAATGGCGAGGTGGCTGTCTTTCTTCGCGGAGTAAAACTTCTCCATCGAGTATAAACCAGGACGACTTAATGTCGTCGCTGATGCTCCTTCGCGTGTGCTCAATCTGGAGCCGACTACTTAACCCAGCAGTAGGGTGATCTCACTGTTGCAACACAATCAGTGAGTGTTCCGTCGTCTAATCTGCTCGACGACGTGCGAAAAGCACACGCAGAAGATGAGTATCTTCTGCGGTTGATGGATTACTTGTCCAATCTATGCAGTCAAGCTTTGAAAAGCTTGTCGTCTCAATACCACTCTTCAACCGAACCGTATTCTGTTCGTGATGGAATGCTGTACTATACAGTAGTCAACGGCAACAAACCGCGTGTAGTTGTTCCCACGCATGATGATTTGCGACTACGCATCATGTATTACTGTCACGATGCCCCAACAAGTGGGCATCGCGGTAGAGAAAATACTTACCTTACGGTAAGTCGTGACTTTTACTGGCCCCTCCAGTATGAGTTCGTGCGCACATACATTCGCGCTTGCGAATCATGTAAACGGTTTAAGCCTAGTCCTATATCTCGTGCACCTGTGCAGCCTCCACCATTTCCGGCAGAGTGTTGGCAGTCCGTATCGATGGACTTCTTTTTCGGGTTTCTCAAAGACGCTTACAAGAACACTGGTATTCTTGTATTTGTCGATCAGTTCATCAAGATGGTATATTTTGTTGCTGTACCGGAGTCAATCACAGCCCAGGGCTGTGCTCGTGTCTTCATCGATACTATCTTCCAACTTTACGGGTTACCCCTGACCTTGTGTCACACAGGGACTTTTGCTTCACAGCGGCGTTCTGGAAATCCTTGTTTCGCTCACTTGGAACACGTTTAAAGATGTCGGACTATGACCACCCCGGAACAGATGGTCAGACGGAATGCGTCAACCGCGTCCTCGAAGAGATACTTCGAGGGTACTTCCACTCGTTTACGAGGTGGAGTGAGTTCTTGCCGATGCCTGAATTCGCCATCAACAACTCGGTGCATGCGTCGACAACTCATACACCGTTCTTCGTGAACGGCCTACGCCATCTATGTTTACCCGTCTTCTTATAGTGTGACTCTAGGTTTGGGGGGGGGATGGACTCGCTCGAACGAAAACCGATCTGGTTCTTGCTCATCACCCGTCGACAATGGTGTCGACGTGATGGATGCCGACGTCGATGCGATCGACATCGATAATGACGATGATTACAGTGCAGGTATATTTGGCGTTTCTAGCTGCTGCTACAGTGAGAACAATGACGCCCTCACTGGTAAGTACAACGTTCTTTTAGCAGTGCACACGAAGCGCACTGCTGTCAACAAGGATAAATCAGCAGAGGAATTTCTGCTGACTCGCGAAGCGGTTGTCCGCTTCGTCTAAGACTCTATTGCAGATGCAGTTGATAAACAAAAAAAGAAACACAGACAAACATGGAAGAGCAAATGTTCTTTCATTTGATGAAGGAGACTTAGTTTTATTGCCAAAAGTAAATCTACGAAAACACAAAGTGACAAACGTGGGCAGCAGTAAATTACCGCCCAAGTATATCGGTCCATTTCGTGTTTTGCGCCGAATGGGCAACGCATACACGATTGAACAGTCTTGTAAAATGCGTATGCATCCTAAGTTTTACGTTGGGCGTCTCCCCCCGAACTATCAGTACGAGCCCGTTTCGAGAGGCGAACAACACCTCCGCGGTCGAGAGCCGAGACCATCTTCGAGTGGTCCCGTTTCAACGAGCCAGTCTGGTCGACTTTCGAAGCGACCTGCCCAAGCAGTTGAGCGATGTCCTGACGAGCTGCAGTCAGCTCGTCGCAAAGAGAACGAGTCGAACCTTCGTTCTCAAGTTGTGCGAGCGAAAACGCGGCACGATCGTCCGAACGATCGTGCGCCAATGAATTGTAATTATCCTTTACAAGATCATGGAGCTAGTAACGCCGAGTCCGTTCATGAGCCGGGTCATCGTGTAACTGTTCCGTTATACGGTTCAGCTCCTGAACATCAAAAAGATTCGACCCTCGAGCCGGATCAGGTGGTCCCGCCACCACCACATCCTTTGGTGGATTCAGCCGGTGATCAACGCTTTCTAGTGAGGCGTATTTTGAACCACCGCGACGTGAATGGCGTCAGGACGAGTTACCTCGTCCGCTGGCGTGGCTATCCACCGGCCTGGGACAGGTGGGTTGATGTCCTGGGTCTCGTCAAGCAATATGACGAGACCGACCCGCTGCGTTCGAAGAATGGCCGTAAACAAGACCTCCCCGAACGCGAGTACAGGGATTGCAAAGTGTCATTTCTTTCGGCCATCTCAGAAGAGATGCGCTCCCTCCAGTAGGGATACTTAGGAAGGTAGGCCTCCCTAAGGTCACGATTAGCATTTTCCAGGCAACCTGGACACGAATCACCCACGAGAGACAGGGTAATCCTGCCTCTCTTGACAGACGGTACAACTTGTACTGCACCCCGCCTGGGTTGCGCTTCTCAAACCTGATGCAAGCTGCATCAATTAACAAGCCAGGCCTCACGGCCAATGCAATCGATGTTATGGATGAAGGCACTCCTTTCCGGCACCAAGGCCTTACCGTCTCGGCCACGGTTGCCGTTGCACCACCGATGTTTGATGAGCACATCAGTGTAGAATGATTTCACAGCACGGATAGCTTCCGTGCTAAAATTAGGAGGAAGATCCTCCTATAGTCAACAACGGGATTTAACTTTGTTCGATAGTCATGCCGGCCAACCGGTCCAACTCCTTGGATGAAGGCATCCAAGGAGACTCTACTTGGGGAGCGTGGAGCAGGACATTCCGGTCCCTGGCCTCTTGAGTGGTGTCAGCATGCGCACTGACACCAGTGGCAGCTCGATCTCTCAAGTTTACCTCTCTCGTGGTGATGTATTGGGGTATCATCACTATCACCACGCGCCCTATCGTCGGATGGACTTGCGTGAGGCGAGATTTCGTCAGAAGAATTGCTCGGTCCGAAGATTTCGGACATGTATTTCGCCACGTTCCCCAGAGCCAGTCAACCTGGCAGGCCGACTGGATCTTGCCGTGTCCGCCCCGGATGATCCGGAGGCGTGAGGTGTCGCCTTCGAGTCGGATGCATCATCCGAGCCGCCAGAATAGATGAGCTTTATTTCAGACTCATCTACATAGCGATTCGCAGTAACCGCTGCAGACGCAACAGATGTATCTGTCGCACGCGGTGACTCACCACGTGGAATATCCACAACAGGCGCCGCCTGTTGCTAAATTGCAACAGCAAGCGACGAATCACCTGATGCTGAGGTGAGGGAAGTACTCTCTCCAGCTGCACGCATGCGAGAAGCCGGAGATAGTACTGCTACAGTAGCAACTCGCTTGGATGTTGGAACCATGCGTTGGATTGCCAAATGAATGGAATTTGACCAATAATTTCTCCCTTTCCCAGAGTGATCCAACGGTGGGCAATCTGTCCCAATCAATTCTACTTAGCCAACGGGTGATTTATGGCTAAGGGAGGGTGATGGAACGGGATAACCCGTTTCATGATACGGACACAAAACGGCGTCAATAGGGATATTGTCTAGCATGACAATTCCCTATGAAAATTATCCGAGGTGGATAATATTGAAGGAATATTATCCCCTTTTTAGATAATATTCATGCGCTGCTCCAAGACTAGTCGATAAAAGACATGTCAACCGTAGATTACCACCAATCGCTGCTAGACGCGCGCAATGAGTGGTGAGCAGGTTGTCGTCATACGACGACGTAGTTTAGTATACTTAGATAAAGACTGAAGTTATATTGATAGCTTACCGATATTAGATCTCTCTTTTTACCCTTTACTTAGTTTAGTTGTTGAGTAGATTAGCTTCCTCTACACGTACTAGTGTACGTGAAGTTTCGCGGCACCCAAACAAAGGGTGCCTCGATACAGGTGGTCTAGGACCATGCATTACCGTTAGAGAGCCGCGTACCAAGCACTGGCGGATACAGTCCGACAAAATCTTGTTTAACTCCGAATGTATTCGTACAAAATGCATTCATATCTTTTTACTACGCTATGTCTAAATTACAGTGTGTTAACACTTCGACCAAATCGAGTTTCAAGTTAGTGTTGTCATTACGTATTAAGCTCTTTAAGTCCAGCGTGTTGGCCTTGTGGCTAGAAACTATCAACAGCACTGATTAATCCCTGTAACAGCGCTGAAATGTCGCCATCAGCACTAGTAAAACCTTTTGAATTGCTAAATAAAGCTCAAACAGGTAGAATGGATTCGTGATAGTCTATTGAATGTTTAACAAATCTCAAGTGATTATATCGTACGAGCAGGAAGCGATTATTATCACAACCAAACATCGACAACAGCAGCACTGTAGTATTAACAACACTATAAAACAGAGTCACACCACGAACACGAACAGCGGTACCAATAACAACGACATCAGCAGCACCAACACCAACTTAAGCAGTAGCAGTATCAAAAGCGACAAGAACACACAATTACTTACACGAGTAACAACAGCGGTTATGGCTAAGCCAGAAGCAGGACCGACGACATAGCGACAACGACACTGCAATTGAAACAGCAGTAACCGGAAATAAAAAATCATCTAAAATGTAACAATAGAACACAATACCAACAAAAATAGGGTAACAAAAACAATACTTTCAACTCAACCAGAATCATTACCGATTGTCTGCATTTACGGCCACGGCCGACGATACGTAGACGTGCTTTCATCTTAAATGTAACGTCTGTTCCTGCAATTAGTGGCTGCAAGCGCAGCACGTCCGCGGTATTGCATGTTGATGCTTTCGTGCAGCAGAATTAGGAAGTAAAAGTAACATACAATGAGAGTTAACTACCCTTCGTTGTTAGCTCTACCACATGCAGTTAATGACCAGCACCGCAAATTGATTTAGTCAAGTTAAACCTGGCGCATATCCAGCTTGCCCATCACCATGTGACGTTCGTATATCGCCCCCTGGTCCCGCCTATCAACTCGTCAGCCAATCAGGTGAGGTTGCCCTTTACCGGTCACGGGTCTTGCAGTTTTCACCCCGAGCTTGAATGACCCGTCAGAAACAGTATCTTCCAACATGCGGTAGAACCTCTACGCGGCACTGCCTGCAGGGGGGGTTCATTGCGGCCACTGAAAGGGAATTGAAAGGTAATCTAAATTTGTAATGTGTACCACGTCCACTAAAGTAAACGAAGACATGGGGCATTATTTTATATTTCTCATAATCTAGGGTGTAATTTTATATGATAATTACCTGGGGTATGTTTGTTGTTTCCGTGAACCCATTGGGCATTATTTAAATGTCCAATTATCGAGGGCATTTTTCATCTTTCAATAATCTAGGATATTATTTCTATATTCCAATTATCTAGGGCAGTTTTTTTTCTTTTCGTGATTAAATGGGGCTCTTTTTATTTTCCCACATTTTTTTAGAAAATGAGAAAATAAAAAATGCTCCATTTAATTGTGATCTTGTCCTTGGCAATATCGTCCCATTGTCGATGTAAACACGTCCACTGTTGCACATTTTCGACTACAAAATGCACGAGCAGCTCTTTTCAGGCCCATTGCTGGCACTGACTACCGACGGCGTTCAGCTTCAACCGGAGGCCGTGTCGTTTCTGCAGCATCTGATCGAGCCTGTGGTGGTCGTGAGCCTCCATGGACCAAAGCACAGCGGCAAGACGTCGCTTGTCCGCAGCCTTTTCGACGTCCACGAGGACGACGCCGGCACGGAGTATCGTCAAATACCCATATGCGACAGCAGCACCTACTGATAGTTGTTGTGACTCATGTAAACATATACGTATGTGGTATTTGAATAATGCTGCAGAGGTGTGTGGCTCTATGTCAGGAGAGTAGATTTCCAGAATGCCACCTACTTGGCGATTGTGGACCGACCGGGGTTTCATAAGTCGGTAAGAGCTGAGGCCGCTGTTGTAAAAACCATTTTGACTGCGCTTTAATGCTGACGTGTTGGTGTTGTTTGCATGTTTTTTTACCAGTCACTGGACAGGTTGTTGTACTCAGTCCTTGCAAGTCTGAGTAGTGTGGTGGTCCATCATGTGGATGGCCAGTTGACTGCTGAAACGCTGGACCAATTTGCGTTTCTCGGATCGAAGCTAGAAAAGAGCGGTGCATCGCTACCACCTGATTACGGTATTGGGGAGCACTTATGACAGTGTCATGACGGTCAATTTGCTTACTGATATTCCGTTGATTTAGATTTTCCTCAGTCTCCAAAACTGCTTTGGGTGCTGCAGAATGTTTCCACGAGCGAGCTGAAGGAGCAGGTGCAGAGTGGAATGTCTCAGCAAAAGATTGAACAGGAATATTTGTGCCACGCGTTGGCCGCATTGCCTGAGGATTCACCCGGTGCAGAAGTTAGCAGGCTTCTTGGGACCGTGTTTCCTGATCAGGGATGCTTTACAGTTCCTCCAAAAGAATCAGAGGTGTTTGAAAAGCGAGTAGCGAAGCTCTTGCGGGTCCTTACACAGTCGGTGCACAATTGCTATTTCGAGACTACCGTGCTCAATGGCCCGCTTATCGGTACACTCATGGTTTCTATGCTTGCTCACCGCGATAGCATCTCAAAGGTCTGAATTACTTGATGCGTATGATGGATTGTTATGAATGCATTAACGTTCGTGCACGCATTGCGACAGGCGTTCCGGGGGCAAGTCTGGGAGGACACGATTCACAGTTGCTGCCTAAGTGTTGTCGAAAATGTAGTCAAGAGTTACAAGTTTCGAATGGCTAAACGATTAGGCAGCATTGTCGACACGTCAGACGTCGAATCTCTACCGCTAACGCTAACCTCTCCTCCAGAACATCCATCATTGGTCGAGGTTAGAGCGCATGGAGCTCGATTGAGTTTATTCATGCGTCACTTTGTCTGACCTCCGTTACGCGTACCCATGCAGTTACCATGTGACCACCATGTTCTCCTCGGTTTGCACAATACCGCTAAACGCGAAGCAAAGGCAACTATTCGCACGATGCTTGCCCGGTCCGAGAAACTCAACTCGTTGTTCAAGGTATTGCCGCGCAGCCTGTGCCTGCACGATGCATGTATCCTGAAGTAGAGCTGACATGCTGTTTTGATGACTTCACAGAGATTATTCCGTGACTCAGTGAAGTCTGTCTTTAGCACAATTCTGGACAAAAATGACCGCATTTCATCCGAGATCTGCCAATCGTCGCTTGCTGCACTCCACACGAAAATGAGTGAACAAATCAATATGCAGTTAGCGTTGAGCACCCAACATGACGAAGGCTCGTACTCTTTCCAGTCGGTCGGATTGAAGGTAAGGAATTACGACGATTTGCGTGGCACGATTCCAAAGTGATCGTTTTTCTTGTCACTTTGCAGAGATTTTATCCCCATTACCAAGCAACCTTGTTCAAATTGATGGTTGAGTACACCGATCAAGCGAAAGGCCCAGCCAAGGTGAATTTGTGCTCGTATACTAGACTGGCCTGACCGGCGCAAATACACTCACACATGTGATCATTTGCAGAAAAAAGAGCTCGCCAAGTTCATGCACAATGTCATTCGGCCACAACTCGCAGACTTATCAGACACACTGGAAAATGCTCGCCGATGCGATGTGGATGCGGTTCAGACAGAAATTACAAAGAAAGAGCAGGAGGTCCAGGAGCTCAATCATAAGCAAAACTTGTACCAGGATACGACAATGAATACGCAAAAGGACGTCAATCGACAGCTAGTCGAAGTCGCTGAGCTTCACGCGGTACGTAACGGAGTAATCTCTGTACAAGTACACTCAAGTTGACCGGGGGCTTTCTTGCAATGTAGTTGCGAAAAGGGGCACTTGTTCAAGCTATTGAAGACCTGAACAAGATGGACGCGAAAGCCACTGAGCAAAAAGCATTGCTGGAAGAAGCTGCATTTGTATCGGTTCGTGGACTTGTTTTCTGAGAATTTACGGGTGGTGGAAGGTTAATGACAAGCGTTAACATGAAGGTCCAACTTCCCGAACAAAAAGTCATCGAAGCTGCTCAGGATCAAAAAGAAGAAGTGACAGAGCTGCAAGGCTACTTGATCAAGCAAGGTGGTGGTGGAAATGTACTCAACATCTTGGGCCGGAAGAACTGGAAGCAACGGTACTTTATTCTCATTGGCGCAAGCCTGATCTACGCGAAGACGAAGGATGACTACGAGCGTGGTAAAGTCATCAAGGAACTCAGCCTAACCGGGTGCGTTGATACTGCTTTCCGGCATGCGTTGCAGTAGTACAGTTTGCTGACTTTTGTCACTTCACTTGTAGCTGCCGCATCGATCCCTCCCGCGACGCAGGCGAAGGACTCGATATCACTCCAGGAAAGTCTGCGCATGTGTTCGCATTGCAACGGGGCTTATTCGAGAAGAATAGCAAGAAACGCTCCTCAACAGCTGACACCGGTCGCATCTTTAAGCTCCGTGCTCAAAACATTCAAGAGCGAGACGTATGGATCGATAAGCTACGCCAAGCGGCTGGAGGCTACTAATATTTTGAGTACGCTTGTTCAAGTGAGCTCGGTGATGTGATTGAGGAGAGTGGCTTTAGCTCCGAGTGAACGATCGTGGTCCTTGGTCTTGCTACTTGCTAGCGTGGTTCAGGGTGGTCTGCATTCAGAACGCCCCCAACGTCAAGACAGGCATCTTGAAGTGGTCTGCAGCGATTCTGTGCTTGAACGAGAGGATGCACGATATTTGCGCACATGAGAAACCCAGGGGTGCGTTTGTATTGTCTGTGCAACCAATATCCGACAACTTCTTCGACCCCCAACTCCTTGTGTATGGTATGAAACCCGATGGTTCCGGCAGGTTGACTGACGCAAGGTCGAATCTAGCTCCCGTTTTGCTGCCACGGTTGACGGTCACGTAGTGCTACGTCGTATCAAAGATGCCCCACCGCACAAAAGTAGAGCTCTTGGCACCATCTGACGGCTCGAACGCTGGTGTTACCGGAAACGTTCAATGCTCGACGGATTCGGCACATGTGTTAGTGGCTGCCATGACTGAGCTTTGCGCGTCAGTGTGTTTTACCAGCCTGCTTATTCGTGCTGCTGCATACAAAAGTGTAAACACCGTGTAAGTCGCGCCGACACACCGCAGAATGAATGCCAACATAACAAACGCGGTAGGAAATGCCAGTTTTGCCATCTTGGTCGCAATCGCGAGCGCAGGACTTTCACATGCCGAAGCCGGTTGCTTGCGCGATAGTCTGGCAAACGTTTTTTATTTTGCCTAGGGTTACAGGCGCTCGCATCATTCGATTCCATTGCTATCGTATCAAAGGCACTCCACGACTTTGGCAAATCCATCCCACCGCAAAATGCGTGCCATGGCCCAGATACACCACGAGCTAGCATGAAAATAAGGATAGTATTCTTTACTGTATCGTCCTGTTCCTACAAAATTGAAAGCAAATAGGTGACGCAACATGTAAGTCTTGTCAGGTATATCGCGCCTGCCGACTGCATTCCGCTGAGCACACGGGAGACACGATGGTGGGAGGCGATCGCGGGCTTCATGCTTTCTGTCCCCTCGCCTCGCCCCACTCAAGTGTAGTAGGGACCGGAAGTAATTTATCAAATTTGCCCTGAGCGCAACAGCTCCACAACCAAAACAGATACACGAGACCCAAATCCAAGCCCAAATCAGAGCCAAATGACAGAGCAAGCAACGAGTGCGTTCCATCCGCTACTCCCGCTTGTTGTTTTCTCAGCTGTCGACTCCAACGAGACACCACCTGTCATAGGTCGCACACGTTTCGCCGACACTTCGATACACGTTATTGCCCGGTGGACGAAACACGTTCAGGAACGTGCTCGCCTGAAGCAGCACTGTGCACAATATGCTGACGCAAGTTACGCACAAAGCAAGACATCTCACCAATAGAGCCCTTGCGGATGACGCTGGACGGAAAGTAGCCCTTGATATCCATATTAAGGATCCAAATCAGTCGACTTTTGAACGGAGTTGACGGATGCGGCAAAATGACCCAGCCCGTCGGCCCATTCTCGCCACGTGTAATGCCCTTCTGCGGTTTCAAAATGCCTTTTCCAGCATAGTTGTTGGCAATCACATAGCCGCCATCCTCTTGACGCCGCCATGTGCGTGTGTTGACAAAGTCACGACTCGTAATCATGCCACCCAGAGCAGGAGCCGACGTCAAATGCACAAGGTCCGTCGTCTCGTCCAGCTTGCACACGACATTACTCTCGGCTGCCGTCACGTTCCATACATTGCTCGTTTCTAACTTCGTGTACAATTCATCAAACAACTCGTCCGGCGAGAGCGCGAGCTCCGTCTCACACCTGTAAACGCGGGACGGTTTGCCGTCTCGCGAGTAAATCGTCACATCGTCCGCCGTCGGCGTCTCTTCCGTCCACACCGCGTCCCTCGTCACGTCCGTGTGGGCCAATTCCACCACCGTGTCCAGTGCCCGTTGCGAACTCGCAATGAGCTCGTCACTTTGATCAGCCGTGATCGTCACATCCGCATACTTGTCCGTCTTTTCCGCCACCTCCAGCGTCTCGATCGTCAATGGCTCGTCTGCCGCATCCACATCCATACCACAAAAGACCTGCTCGGCATCTTCAACGTCCACGCCAAACGACGCACGAGCCGCCCCCCGCAGCCGCAGCACGACTTCCACCACGTTCTTCAGCGCCGCCGCCAGCAGGATCCACAGCGCCACGTTCGTCCACGCCACGTCGTCCTTCAACGACCACAACGCCGCGACAAACGCTACGGCCGACGCTACTGCCACCGCCACACTAGCGCTGCTATTGCTAGTGCCACTGCTCGTGCGGCAGCAGCTCGAGCTGTAGCTGTAGCGGCGGCTCTTGCCCTGCAACTGTCTCGCCTGCTGCTTCTTCACAGCCATCACGTCCTGCTCGAGCTGCAGCTGGAGCTGAAGCTTCTGCTGTTGCTGGGCTCGCGACGTCGCGTCGGCATCAGCAGAAGCAGCAGAAGCTTCTGGAGACCAGCCTGTGGCACACGCGTGCGCGTTAAACGTCGCGTCGTCAGGCTCAAAGTTCCGGCAGGGCGACGTGCGCGTGGCGCACATGTCGCAGACGCGCTGGCGCCGCGGGATCTCGTCCGCGCTGGTCGCCAGCACGAGGCGCGTGCGCGAACACGCGTAGCAAAAGATCTCGCCGCACACGCGGCAGTGATGGCGCCGATTGACCAATGAAAAGGCGCGCGCGCACTTGCCGCACGCGCGCGCAGCCGCGTCGTCGAGCCAGCGACCCGAGACCGTGTCCCGAGGCGCTGACGTCGCGACAGACGTGGCGGACCAGCTGCTGGAGGCGGTCGACACGTTCGAGCCTGAGCGCGGACGGAGCGAGAGCGACAGGGCGGTTTTGTGGGCGGGGCCGCGCTCCGAGCGCGCAGAGCGCAGAGGGCGCACGCACATGGGAGCGAGCGGTTGTGGGCCAGAGACTGGCTTTTCAAGAGTGAGTGAGTTGAGAGCGAGCGAGAGAGAGAGTGATTGTCAGTGTGTGAGTGCGTGCGTTGTTTTGGTTGCTGATACGGAAGGAATTAGCGTCTGTAGCGCTACGTTTTACGACCGCGATGGCCGACATGAAGTGGTACAGGGCGTTTGACACCTCGATTACGACAGCAGCTGCGTCGGGAACGCGATTCGATTGGGCACCGCGCGAAGCGACTGAGGCAAGCAGACACTGGCGTCGCGCGAGTGGGGGAAAGGGGCTGCGTGTGTAATGCCGGTCCAGGCTTTCCCTTCCGTCCCAGCTGATCGTGCTTGATCTTGAGAGTGAAGGATGCTGACACGGGCGTACACGAGAGTTTCTACTGGGGCTTGCTTGCTTCCACACAAGAGTTTCGACCGGTACTTGAACATGGAGGCTCACCCCTTGGAACTTGATGACGACCTTGCAACGAAAGGCTCATGTCGATTGACAAACCATGGGGGTTTGTCGAAACAGCAACATGGACGAGAGAGAGGAAGACGAGTAGCGACAGCCGATTGACGCAACTCGACGCAGCGCTTGCTGCGTTATTGCATAGTACTTCGCAGCAGCGGCTAATAGACCGTTTTGATGGTCCGTTCGTGGAGTTAACGTGGTAGATCAAGTCATGATCGACTTTGTTGCATCTCGGTCGCTGCAGTCGCGTACGACGGTCAGTGTGTGGAACTGTTCTAGCCACAACGCCAATAGTCGATGCATCGTAAGCGTCCGTCGCCGCGACGTGCCGCTCGTTCGTTGCGATGCCAGCAGCGCTAGTCCCAGTCCTGGTCGAAGAGCCCAACGCAATAACGCTGAGCTTGCTGATAGGCAGCAGTCAGTCAGATGCGTCGAATATCGAGCACAAAAGTACAATGGAAGCCCGTTGCGTAGGCAAAAGTTCGAGTGCAGTAGTGTGTGAGAATACATAGAAGGAGGCGCAGCACGACCGAGCGTTATGACCACCAGCTACACGCTTCCTACGTCTTCTCGGAAACGAGTCGCAAGTAACTACCAACGATCCAACGATCCAACCAGTTAACCAACGGACAAACCAGTTAACTATTTAACTAACTCTCAATTCGGTGCAACCGTCGCGCAGCAGACAGTCACGTGTATACCAGGTATACACAGAGCTGCGACAACATGTCATCCATGAAGTGAATACGGTGCTATGGCTGCACTTTTGCTGGACTTGTGCGCCTCTGGTCGAGTCCTGCGGGATCGGCTCGATCTGATCTCGTCTGGTCTCTAGACCTCATTTTTATCCTTTTTCTTGTGCCTTGCGTGGGAAAAAGAGCTCCCGTCTCCACGCCGTTATGGCATCTGCCCATGGTCCAGAGAGAAAAAAAACCGATGGTGTGGCTTCAACGTGGTGTATTGGTCAGGCGCAGACAGACCACCAGCGTGCCCCGCTTCCCTCTGTTGGGAGACCAGATATCGCGCGAGTCTCAATTATTACTGACCAGACTTGGACTTAGGACAGGCGAGTCACGTCTCCCAAGCTTGCAGGTCGATATTTGCCGCCCACTTCTCGTTCTCTCAACTCGGTGTCTCCACTTTCTGAAAGGCAAACGACCACCTGTATATTAAAGCCATGGCTGACTACGAAGGGTATTTGCTCCTCCACGACGTTGGTCGACAGGCGGTACGTACGATACGTCTCTCCTGTGGTCACATGCCTTGCTACACGAACTTTGAATTGACTGGTCTTGTGCTTTCGTCAGGACCCATTGTATTTTGAGCTCAAAGGCGGCTTGCTGCAATTCTATGACAAGAAGGATGGACGCTGGATGGGTCAGTTCTATCTCACGAGACACCGCGTGGTGGTGCAACCCGTTGACCACAGTCTCACACCGAACCGCTTCTGTGTCGAGCTGAGTCCCGTGCGCTCTGTACACGACACGGAGCGATCGATTCAGCACTTTCGACGCACGCGACTTATATTGGGCGCGTCTACACCGGAAGTCCAAGGGCAGTGGATTCGCGCTCTAAACACTTGGCGGCGTCGTAATTGGAAGGACACGACCGTGATTGCTGCCTTTGACGACGAAGCCAAGGCGCTACGAATGCTCATGATCATGTATCGTCTTGAGCTCAAGCTGCTGCGGTTTATGGACATGTCGCTCCGCAAGATAAACATGAGCCCTCAGCCTACCGACTTGACGTATGACGATGCTGCGGTATCAAAGCACCAGAATACTTCGTCAGTACTATGGTGTCAAGAGCCTGTCAGGCGACACGAGTTTATTCACGAAGCAAAGGATCAGTGTTCACCACTTGGCTCTGCAATGGTGGATGTCCAAAGACTGAGGACAAAAGTGCTGATTGATCTCGCTGCTGCCAGCTCGTTTTCGAGCCGCGTAAATCTATAAATTAATTCGTTTATACATGAACGTGCGTTGCGTCGAAGGTGTCGTGTCTGTTCGGGCCTTGCACAGGTTCTACTGAGCTATAGCAGCAGCATGCAACACCCAGTACGATGAACTGGTGCGTGTTGTAGCAGCATTTGCGACACTTAGTAGAAACAAGTGAGCCCGCCACGGACGCCACGACAGACTTGTTACGCGTCCTGCGCTACTGTACGCGTACAATCGGTACCTTGCCGGTCATACGAAGCGACCGCGTCAGCTTATTAGTGACTGTAAATTAGCGACACTGTACCACTCGAGAAGATTCAGGGCAGGACAGCAATGGCATCATCTGCTGAAACTCTTACGTATGACCTGCTCGTTTGCATTCTCCACAGTATCGTGAGGAACACAAACATGTGGAGAATGCAAACGGCCAGGTCTCTACCGCCGTTTACGCTGCTTACCAGTATGACCAATTTCGACGCTGCAAATCGTCTTTGAAGCCACTCAAGGTACCACGTTGACAACCGCTATAGCACGTGTGTCAATTAAATGAACTGTACTGTTGTTTGTATACAATCGTATTGAAGTCAAAGACGTCGCTGTCAATCACTTGCACGTAGAAGTTGCAATGCAGCGCTAGCTCCATGACTGCACTGCGTAGGCTTGGCAGCCGCAAGATGGGCCTCTTTCACCTCTCATACCTGAGCTAGCGTTGCAGTGCCACAACCAAGCCAATGGATACTTTGAAGGGAGGCGTCGCGTACGAACAAGGAGGACATGATACTGAGCAGCCACGCCGTACGTCCACGACGGCAGTCATTGCGAACAGGATTGAATTGTCTGGTAGTAAACGACGTGACCAGCTGAAATTCTTCAAGTCTGACGATCGAGTCACACATGGCAGAACAAGACGTCGCGGAACTTTACGTCGACAAAGTGGTCACGCTTGTCTGACCAATGACGTCACGGCGGTCTTGCTGTCGACAGATGTGCGAGACAAAGACGGCTTTTGTATGGATGCGTCATCGCCATCATGATTTTCCGTCTCTGCAAAAGCTTTGCTTGTGGAAATTAGAAACGCAAAATACTTGCGTTTTTTTACGAACGTGCAGTACCCAAACTCATCGGGAAGGGGCTTGAAGAAACGTATTGGATACTTTCTCAGCTAAATATAGAATACTCGTCGCGTAGTGATCATAACGTTACGTCGCCGTATGGTTATGCACGATGACAACGTTCGAGCAATGAGACTCCGTGCTTTTGTGTCCATCGCGGGTGCAAAATTGAACGACAGCGACGGATCTTCCATGTGACGTGCGTTGACGTGTCTACTCTAGACGAAGTGCATCGCAACACGATACACTAGCGAGTGCTCCAGCAAGAAGTCGTGGCGCTTGATCAGCACCTTCGCACCAAAGACAGGCATGCTGTGCAGAAACAGCGACAGACTCGTGATGCTGCGCATGTACGAGCGGCACCGCTGCCAGTCTGCAGAAGCCATTGCGCCTGCCTGTTGCAATCCACCAACAAGCAGCACCATGCAACCCAGGAAGAACCCAGCGGCAACCAGACCCAGCAGAAACTGCATCGTGTCTTGCAGACCCAGAGTTGCCAACGCTGCCGCCATTGCAGCCATCAAGATGTTCGAGATCAATAGCTTTGCCGCCGCGCCGAAGACCACGGCCTTGCTGCCAGAAACGATCGCTTGTAGATACAGCTCCAGGTACAGACAGATAAATGCCATCGGCCGCCACAAACAAACGAACAGGCCAACAAAGAGAGCGTCTAGAAAGTGGCTCTCGCAGCCGCGATAACCCACTACACGACCCACCGTCGTGTTCCATCCACCTGCATATCCCGTGCTCTTGACCGGCAGCACCACGTTCTTGCGGCTTCCCACCAGGCCCTTTTTTATAATCCAATTGAGTCCGTCTTCGTATCCCAAGTCAAACAACCACTTGATGTCGCGTTCTCCAGGTGGAAACAAGGCCCACCACATGGGCACGTACACCGACGGCTTAATGTCCGCGCCAACGCAGTAGAACGGACTGATCGTGACCGTCTTGTCGTCGAACACTGGCTGGAAGTCGAGCAGGCCGCCGTCCACGGCCCACTCGCCGTTCAGCTTGAACGGCAGACCAGCAATGATAGGAGCGCAACAAGAGGCCAGCAACGTCTGCTTCAGGTGCTCGGCGGACTCAAACGTCGTCGTGCGACGAGATGTCAGCGACGACAACGACGAGTAGACGACCGTGACCTGCTGAGACGCGTTCAGCTGCTCAAAGTCCTGCAGCTTGCCATGACCGAGCAACGTCTCGCTCAAGTACGAGCGGACGCGAAAGTAGCCACCGAGTGACGCGTGTGCTTGGGGTATTACGTTCTTGAGCACGTGGTCAAAAATGGCGTCAAAGTCGCAGTGAAGCGCCAAGCCCGTGGCCGTCAAAGCACCTGCAGAGCAGCCAATGAGTCGCGCGTTCTTCTCGAGCTCAAACTCCTGCAAGGCTTTGGCTACACCGAAGAGGTACATCTTGAGCCAGCCGCCACACGCGAAGGAAAAGGATAATTCGGGTGCAGTAGTAGCTACTGGAGACGAACTGCACGCGTGAGGAAGAGGCAGAGACGAAGCCATTCTCTTCTGGTGATAAAGGCAGAAGAGAGCGAGAGAGAAAGTGACGGTTTTGTGGGATCGGTGGTTAATCCAATAGTGTGGACCAAGACTCGTCGTTGTTGTTGTCGTTGTTGTTGTTTTCGTCGTCGTCAGGTCGTAACATCCACGTGTGTTTTGTCGTATGGTAGTGGCGCAGTTTTGTGTCGTCTGAGCGACGCTTCGGAAAGCGTGACACGATGTGGAAAGTCGAGATCAAACGTGACGCATGCGTGTCATATTCGATGTGCACCACACTCAGCATGATAGAAATGCGTTTTTGTTAACTTGTTTTAAAAATCTATTTTATCTTCTGTTGTTGCATAGCCGCTGAGCGGTCACGCTCTTTTTCCGAGCGGCAGTAGGCAGATGGAAAAAGCCTGATATCTTGCACATGTGTGCGGCGGGATCACAAAGACAGGCTTGGAGTGAGGGAGGGAGGAAGCTGGCCGCTATCCGACTACATCACTGAGAAAGCCCACGACATCCAGCACCCCACCGCACGTAGAAGCAAGTGCCTTCAACATAGCAGGGAACGTTCTTCAACACGAGACCAAGCGAAAATAACTGAAAAAGGGCATAAAACCGACTGCAAGCACGAGCCCGTATACAGTATACAGTAGACTAGGCTCAAGGGACACAGGGTCGGGTCAGTGCAACTCTGAATCTAAATATAGCCACGACGACGTTTCGCCTCGGCGGCAGTGTCACAACTGCTCCGTCTGTCCCCGCCTGATGACGTCCCTTTCTGACGTCCTTCCCCGTCTCTTGTCCCTTGAGTCGGACCATGGATCGACCAAATGATCCAACGGCCATTAACGTATTTGCGCTCTCTATGCGCCAATTGTCACGCGCGCTCCTCTTCGCTTCGGCAGCGCTGGCGCTTGCAGCTGCCGTCTCTGATCGCGTCGAGAGCAACAACAGCTCGTCCCTATCGACGACGTACGACTGCTCCGGTGCTTCCAGCTCGAGGCAGAACTTTATCGACTACAATCACTTGGTGCACTGCAATCCGCTGCTGCAGAGCTCGCCCGTGCTAGGGAAGGCCGTGCTCGTGCTCTGTCTCGTGCTGCTGCTGTATCTACTGAGCTCGACAGCCGACGAGTTTTTCTGTCCAGTGCTCCAAGCGATTGTGGAGAAGTACCGGATCCCGCCACATGTTGCAGGCGTGACGTTCCTGAGCTTTGGCAATGGATCGCCGGACGTGTTTTCGAACATTGCAGCGTTCGCGACACCTACGCCATCCATTGGCATCACGTCTGTTCTCGGAGGTGGACTCTTGGTGACCACAGGTACGGTAGGACGGAAGATCGAACACAAGTCGGATTGTTGCAGCGAGTAGCGATGAGGGTTCTAATGACTTGTGATGAGGGAACTAATTGGCACTCGTTATGATATGATGCGTGCACTTTGTAGTGATCACGGCTTGTGTGGGGATCGTGTCAGCCGGCCAGGAACAATTGATTCCCCGCACGTTCCTACGTGATGTGATTTTCTATTTCGTGGCGGTGTTGTATCTAGGGCTGGTGTTCTTTGACGGTCAAGTCGAGCTGCCCGAGGCACTGGGTTTCCTGGGTCTCTACTTAGTCTACGTCGTGGTGGTGTTTTTGGACGAGCATTTGGCAGCTTATTTCTTCCCAGTCAAAGTGCACACGGAGGAGTCGATGTACGCTGCATTGAATAACGAGGATGATGTCGACTGCTGGTCTCCGTCTATCATGAGTGTAAAGAGTGCCGAGAGCACTCCGCTGGCACTTCCGGTATACGCCGAAGAATCCCATCTCCAGCAGCCCCAGGAACAACAAAAGCGTCGTTCTTATATGAAGAGCCAAACGACCCCGATCTACGATACCTTTGTGCGATCACGGATTTTCTCGGACTCCGATCAGTCGGAGCCGTCCCCACGTTTCCTCGATCGCTTGATGTATCGCAAGAGCTCTGCCGTTACGCCGCGATCGACACCTCACATTTTGGATGCGCTCGAACCAAATGAGGGTCAATCGTTGCTGGAAGTCACGGATGTCCATCTGAAGCGGCCCTCCACCATGTGCGTGGCGTCCATGCAGGAATCACTGCGTCGGATGAGGCGACAAAGACGTCGTCGCAAAACGGCGTGGGAGTCACTCGAGACGAGTGCGTGTTATGGAGCAGCAGCACGACGATGGACGCGCGGGTATCGCACACTCAGCAATATTGACGAATATGAACCTTCTGCTGAGGCAGAAGAGCTTGACGCAGAAATGAAGGGGACTGCTGACTTGTGCGAAGAGGACGTTAAACGAAAGGAGCTGGATTTGGAAGCAGCTGAAAAGGAGCAGCTTGCTCTGGAGGCTTTCACGTCTGGCTCGTTTATCAGCCACGCTAAGATTAAAGCAAAGCAGTGCTGGAGGATGGCTACCCGAGCTGTAGGATGTATCTACTGGACGCTTGAGCGGGTCGTATGGAACCCGTTTGCGGTGTTCACTGTTTTCGTGCGTCGTCTGACGATCCCGTTAGTGGATGAGGATACATGGGATAAGCACTTGGTTGTTATCTGTCCACCTTTTGCGATGTTGCTGCTCGGAGTGTCGGTGTTCTCATTCAGCATTGACGATCCTGTGTTTTTCGTACTGGCCGCCGTCGTCGGTGGAATAATTAGCGGCCTTATCGAGTATGCTACCTCACCACTCTCGCCCCCGGAAGGCAAGCTGCTGGCACCTTTTATCTGTGTGGCTTTTGTAATGTCCGTCATCTGGATTATGAACATTGCCAACGAAGTGCTGGCTGTGCTGGAGACGCTGGGTGATCTCTTTGGCATATCGAGCTCTGTCTTGGGCGTATCGGTAAGTCTTGCATATAAGTGGAGGGCTTGAAACATGATGGTGACTGATCAGTCTCTGTTTTTGGTACTTGTAGGTTCTGGCGTGGGGAAACTCTATTGGTGACCTTGTGTCAAATATGGCCATTGCGCGCGATGGTTTCCCTACAATGGCGTTCGCTGGCTGCTTTGCTGGGCCCATGTTCAATCTCCTCGTTGGTGTCGGACTGTCGCTGACGATTGCCATCATCTCACGCGGTCCTCTCTCTATCGCCACGCCATCACCAGTTGCGTACTTGGTTTTTGGGTATCTCCTTTTGAGCCTGTTGCTGAACATTGCGGTGGTATCATACGACGGCTTTCGGTATCGCCCCCGACTTTGCTACACCCTGCTGGCGCTCTACGGATCGTTTGCTATTATCTCCGTTGCACTTGTGGCGAATTATCCCGAGAAGTAGTGCATATAGTTGCCGCCTCCTGTTCGGGTTATCTTGGACTTTGTGAGTATTTCGAGAGCTCGCATGTTGTCACGGTGGCCGATCAGACTGTTTGGGAAACGCTAGGGTGATAGCTGATCCTTTCGCGTGTACGATATTGTGGCAAGTGTACATGGAGATGGGACAGATGACAGGCTTGGTTGTCAACGGGCCTGCTGTATTGCAAGCCCGTGTGTATTTCGGCACCATTATTGAGTGACAAAGTTGCGCTGGACGGTGCATCTACATCGTCGACTTGAGCTTCATCTTCGCAGCTTCTGATTTAAAAAAACGAACTATTTGTTGATAACTTTGAAACTCTTCGAGGAAACTGGAAGAAACCACACGGTTTTGTTCCATCATGAGGCTGACGGGTCTGTCGTGCGTACGGTCTCCGATCTTGGTAACTGTCGATTCTCGAGTTTTTCCGTGGATCGTGACGTGGGAACGGTCCCCGAGGTTGCTCAGCACGCGATGACATGGGAGCCTTCTTCGCTGTAGTGCAAAGTGTAAGGACTGACGTCAGTACGTCATTGAAAGCGACAGCTTGGATGTGGACTGTGGTGAAGCTATCGTGCATTCCCGCTACTACATTCGCATCAGAGCGGACTGTGAAGAAGTGCGTTCTGACAATGGACGATGGGGGTCACGACTTGAAAATGTAAGTTTGGGTCTGTTGTGACGGGCTCTTCACCTCGCCGGCTTGGATCCCTTTCACATTGTCAGGGTACCACCATCCACTGATCAACCTACGGAAGGAAGCTACGCGCATGACGGTATAGTGGCATCGTTTCGACTTTGGTCTTTTTTATCGTTCGTTCTTGTTGAGCAATGATGGGCGATCAAAAGGCTCAGAACGGAATGTTGTTACTGCGATGCTTCCAGAGCACGTGAAAGTAACAACACTTACATATTGCGGTCTGGGTCATGGCGTCGCGAGGTGCAATGGTTGTTGTTTCATCCGACGACTTTCGGATGTTCGTCGATACGTAGTAGTTGATCACTACGACCGCTCCGTTGAGCTTGTACAAAGTATCGACCATTTTTAGTTTTCTGTAATCAGCGAACGACACGATTCCTGTTGGTCCTATGTAAGCCTGGATCGAGAGACTGTTTCGCTCTACATGATCCGGGGGCGCCGATACCTTCATCAAACAGCTATGCTCTATTTCGATAAAATAGCTACGATGCGAAGCGAAAGCCGATACCATTTTGACCGTCGCGGTCTTTCGCTGCTGCTCTCCAGGCTGTAAACTACGACTTACGGCCACTAACCGTCACAATGTCTGTGACTTTTGCGGCACCTTTTGATCTAAATGTCCATTCTTCCAAGGCGAGAAAGAGGACGGAACGCAAATGCATGTCTCGACAAGGATGCTCTGTGAGGGGATCACTGGAATGACTCGGAGATCTCGATGACCGAGAGGCAACACGCATGCCGCTTAACATGCGGTGCACCAAAAGTCACAGCTTTTCGATGTGCTGTAAATTTATGCTTTGTATGACGGCTATGTAGCAGAGAGAGAGCAGCTAACGTAAGCTGGATCGAAAGCCAGTAATCCTTCATCTTGCACTCTTTTTTTCGCATCCGCAGCATTGCTTCAGCATGTAAATGAAAGGCCCTTCATCTCGTGTACGGTGAAGAGCTTCATCGGGACCGCAAAACGACGACATTGGCTAGGTCCCAATGAGTGTTTCTAGAAGCAAGGCCTTGGCGTCAACTTCATTCCGTGCTTTCATTTCAAAAAAAATTCGAGCAGCTTACGAATGTAATCTACGGAAGGTCTTGCTTGTCATGAGTGCGAACATCCCTTATCGAGAAGGACGCGACTCTTTACGTGGTCAGTGGATTAGGCGTCGAATTTCCAGTGAAACATTGACGATGAACAAAGGAGGACGTCAGATTCTGTCGAGCTGACGTATGAGCGATAAAGCCCGAAACACGGGTCAAATGTGACTCCTAGGGTACCACGTTAGTCCATCCACATCATTTCGAAGATCACTACACCCGGCAGTGTATCCACAAGAACGGGATGCTGTGCACGGAGGTTGATGGGTGGCGTACTTACATTTACAAAAACAATCACAAAAAAGTGTTACGGCAAATTGCACAATAGCGTGGTGTAGGAACCGGCGCAGATACAAGTCTGGAAACGCATGTACTTCATGACCTGTGACCACCAGCTGTTTAAAGAATCGCTATCGTGCAAAAGCAGTAGTAACCATTCACGCCATCATTGTAAACGAGAGTTCGACAACCTGGTTGAAGTGATATCGCACATATACTACGCGCTGGTGGTGCGTAAATGCTCATCATAGTCTTAATCTCACTGTTCAAACAACCGCCGTTGGATGCAGTCGCGGACTAGCACCTCCGCGACAGATCTTGCAGCGGGTTCGTCGGGCATGACACTTTCTTCATTTCCTTGACTGCAGGAGATGACTATTTCTCCACAAATAACATTGCGGGAAAACTTCCTTCGCCAAGCAAACACTACGCGTTCTCGTTTTTCAGTTTTCACACAGGTCCGGCGTGCGATCCGCTAGCACTAGCTACTAGCTTGTGAGGTCCATTCGGTCAAACTTGCTCTCGTCATAGTACGCCGCTTTGACTCGGCGACCTCCAAAAAACCGACCATGTAAGCCTGTCAAAGCTGCAAACGTGAATGCCAGTCAGAGCATACTCAGAGATGCTGGTAGTGTTGTTGCGCACGAGTTTTCTAGTACCACCTTACCTTTTGTGGCATCTTCAACATTCGTGAACTGAACAAATATTCGGACAGCTTCTTTAGGCACAACCGTTCCAGTCTCTTCGTACACCACGCACTTTGTCACAGGACCGTACTTCTCGGAGCATTCACCCTTAACTTCATCTTGCAACTCGTCATCCACCTCGCCTGGCCCCACCATGTTCTAGCAACAAGACAATGATCAAGAAAAAAATCGTCTAGTACACCACGATCGCTTCTCCTCTTTCTTACCTTTAGCAACACCACCTGACTTCTTAACAGAGTTTTCTGTGGCGATCTGCTGGTTCGATGGCGCTTCTCACACGATGAACGGCTTCCACTATCGCGGTGTTGACCTTTCTCGTGGCTATCGCGGATTCTCGAGCTCGTGTTGTGCTCGCGATAGTTACCGACCGACTCGTCTGCTCTCTTTCGCTTCGTATCGTGTCGAACCTCTCTTCCAAATTCATCCAATTCTGGCGCATGTGATTCACACCGTTCTGAGGAACGTCGATCCCTGTTATCACGACTGCCACCGCGCGAACCGCTCTTGCTCGCCCGACTAGTTGGTTCAGCCATATTCGCTCGGAACAAACCACCCACTGCTGCTGATGAAGCAGATCCAGAAGATGAGGAGAACCCGGAACCCTTGGCAGGAAAGGTCCAGCCGTCCCGAGACTCCGCAGCATCCTCAAACTGTCCTGCGGTATAACTTTTTGCGGCCTCTGCACCCTCAAACTGTTCTCGGTCTACATCACGCTCACTCTCTGGCTGTGATGCCGCATGATCTTCACTGCAATATCACGGAAGTCAGTACAACGCAATGGATTTCTTTCACAAAGCACAGTCAATGGCGAACATTTTCTTGCGCATCCACGCCGGCATTGTCATGCCTCGTCCTCGTCCAGCGGGTGCGAGCAGCTTCATGGCAGGTGCACGCCCTGCAGCCAGATCCTTTGCCAGCTTTTCTCGCTCTAACTTGCTCTGTAGAAAGCAAACGAAAACACCGCCATTCGCGTTGGTCATTTTTGTACATCGAATGCGTACTAGCGCCCCTCGACGCCGCACCTCTCGATCCTGTTCTCGCTGCCGTCGACTCAGCTCGCGCTTCACCTGTTCAAGTTTCTTCTTTTCTTGTCGTTCCTTGCAGTACATCTCGTAGCTGTTCGGACGTGCAGGTTGATACTCGTCTCGATACGTCTGCTGAAAAAAGTGGCTACCAGCTATCTCCACACTACCCGCATCCCCATCTTGCATCTCCATCGTATTCTGTGGACGATCGACCGACGTCACCTTCACTTCCGTCGCTGCAACGTACCCCAACCCGGTGCCTGTTGCCGTCCTCCGCATATCGTCATTCTCTTTCTTACAGACCACTGGAATGCCAGCAGATGCTTTTCTAGCCACCGGTGCTGGCTTGAAAGCCAGCGAAACAGTCGGTACCGTCGATCTTTTGCCTCTGCTTGCCGTCAATGCACTCGGCACCATCAACGTGCTCTACTCGAGCAAGAGGAGAAAGTGTCATGAGTCCTCCAGCTGCTGTGTCGTGTTACTAAGTGGCTACAAACGAAGAAAAAAAGAGCCTACACTGGCTATTACCGCAGCCGTCGAGCGGTTACTGCTCTTGTTCTTGGCTGCTTGGGGGACCATCAATGGCGCACTGGCCCAGACTAAACAGTCAGACGAGACAATCAAGCAATTAGATAATCACGGCAAAAACGTTAGCGATACCAAAGTTATCAGTTATGATTGGTACGATTATTTTATGATCGAATGCGAAAAGACGGCTCAAAATCAGTCCTTTTTGACGAGCGTTTGCCACACAAACGACGAGGAAACGTACCCGAAGAGGTCAACGATAGAGACGTCTTGGGTTGACCATCAGCATCGAGCGCGGAAGGCGCTTTGGCGCCTTTGGCCAGTGGCAAGTCGGCGTAAAGGTCCATGAGCTACTGGCGATGGAATCAATGGACTACTGACTCGAGCGTCTGGGCTACTGGTCTTTGTACCGGTCTTGATACCGGTTTTTGTCAGTTCGGAAAGGGGACGACGGGTCAGAAGGCAAAGAGAGCGTGTCGTCTCAGTGTACAGTACGAGTACAAGGTTCAAATAAAAACACATCCACAAGCCTCAGCTGCACTTCCGTTTGGGCAACGAGGATGGGACGATCACTGTTGTTGTCACCGCTGGCGAAGCAATTGTAGCTCAGTCTTCTTCGTCTTCAGCGAGCAGGTACTGGTACATGGCATCTTCCGACTTGCAAAAATGCCAGACGCTTGGCGACGCCTGGAAGAGCTCCACCGACTGGCTCAGCGTCAGGAGTTTTACGCTAATGTCCTCGATGAAAATCCAGGAGCTCTCCTGCATACATGGACACAGAAAAAACAATCAGTACCTTACATGCTTCGGTTACGTGTACATGTTCAAGTGCGGGCAGACTCACGTAAATGGAGATCTCGAGCTCGACAGCATCTTGGCAGAACGCCATTGCTTGCTTGATGTCGAGGTCAATACCTTCCACCGCTGCAAACGCTACGGACATCTCTTCTCGCTTTAGATTCATGATTTCCAGACATGACTTGAGGTTCACCACTAGCGACGAGAGTCCACTGAGTTGTTGGCTTTGACCTACGAATCAGCAAAGAACATCCGTGTCAGCGCCTGCACATTCCATCGAACAACACCAGTCGATTCGGTACGTACGATTGAGCATGATACTAGACGGCGTCAATGCCGCAATTCCTGATAGGAACAAACTCTTGCCGGCAAGAGATATAGGGACACTCAGTCCACTCGTCGCTGGGGCAGCAACCACTCCAGCGACGCTCACGACAGCTCCTGCCACTACACTAGCCGCGCCGGCAGCAACGCCCGTGCCACTGAAGTCAGCCGATCGTCCTCTCATGTGCAACAACGTAATGCTTTGCACCATGAGCTCAGTACACGTCGTGGTGAGCTCATCCAGCTCGTCTAGACTCTCCTGCATCTCAGCCACCATCGTCTGCGAGCTCTGTGTCATGCGGACAAGCGCCCACTCAGCTCGTCTCGCGTGTTTCTTCTCCTCATTTCCATCCTTTGTCTGCAGCGACGGGATCACAGCCTCTCTCAATTTGCTTAAATAGTCCGTCAGCGTCGCGATCTCGTTTGCAAACTGCGCAAACATGAGGTTGCACTGCTCTAAATGCACTTGACTGCGATCCACGAGCTCGTCGCACTTGACGAGCGTGGTGTTGGCTAATTTCACGAGCGTCCGCAATCGGTTACTGAACTTGAAGGCCTTCTGAAGCTTGTGCACGACCTCCTGCAGCTGCTGTAGCTGCTGCTCCTCCGTCTCAACCACGAGCCACTCGGCACGTAGCACCCGCTCCGAGTCGTCGGGTGTAAATGCCTTCTGCATCTTGTCCACGACACGGTCCAGCCCTACACCTTGAATGCCCTTCATTATAGCCAATCGACTGCTCTCAAAGATGTCAGACCCCGAGCGTTTCTTCGTCTCGGCCATGGCGTCCGACATGGACACGAACGACTTGACCGACGGCAGGTCCTCGGTCGTAAAGCTGCGCTGCGCGGTCTGCACAGGCGTAGAGAACTTGCCGCTGCCGTGACGCACAAGCGCTAGGTCATCGCGACTTTCTTCCGACGTCTTCGCACGCGCATACGTCGGACTCGAGACCATGGCATATACCGGTATGACGAGATCGTTCGCGAGGTATGGTTTTCGGGCTTGACTCTAGTTAGCGATATAGTTAGTACGAAGGACCTACATACCAACTTCACACACAACTGTCGCGACGAGTTGTTCTGTCTGTCCGGACAACAAACGCCCGTCCATCCGTTGTGTGTCACTAGCAACCAAGTGGTACAGCCGGTCCATTATTTGTCACAATCACGAGTCGATCGTCTTCGACTGACTATTATTACTGGCTGGGAAGAGAGGTCATTGATTTCCCATACTACACATCGCAGCATGGGCAAGAGCACCAAGCGCCGTCGACAGCAGCGCGTCGAGGCCGTGGGCGCGCAGGTGGAAGCGAGTATCCGACAAGACGCGGAAGAAAAGAAGCTCAAGCACGTGGAGGCGACGCAGCTCTTCCAAGTTGACAGCAAGGGCGGCCAGGTGTCCAGTCGTCTGACGAAGAAGCAGAAGCTGGAGAAGCTACAGAAAGACCCTTTGCTGGCAAGTTCACGCAAATTTGATGCTGGAAAGATGAACAAGGGAGAAGTGCTGGCTGTCCAGAAGCTGCAGCAGCAGGTCCAGCAGCTGCCACCAGCGTCCAAGCGGCAACAAAAGAAGCAGAGCAAGCGAAAGAGGAAGCAAGAGCCAACCAAGGAACTCTGGTGTCAGGACGGCAGCGTCAAGGAAGATGAACGGATTAAGCTGCTCGATGAGTATGTAGCGCCTGTTGTGGTCAAGAAGGTCAAGCGACGCAAACTCATGGCTTCCACCAAGTACAACGTGCCGACGGTAGAGGTCGCGGCTGCTGGCCAGTCGTACCATCCAGACTTTGACACGCACCAGGACGTGATGGCGGAAGCGGTGGCGGAAGAGCTGGAACGTCGCGAGAAGAAGGCGAAGCTGTATGAGCCCGTGTCCAAGGGCATGTCAGAGGAGACATTGCAACACATTAAACAGGAGTCGTCGGACTCGGAAGTCGGCAGTGACTCGGACGACGAAGACGATACGACGGAGAAGGTAAGATACGTGATAGAGATGCGTTTCGATGGAACGGTTGGATAGCTAACTTGTTGTTTGGCTGTTGGAATCGTTTTCCTGCAAAGGCACGCAAAGTGCCCATGCAGGTGACGCGTGCGCAGCGCAACAAGCGGATACGACACAAGCTGCTGGAGCAGGGGCATCACATGCGACGTGGCGAGAAAGCTATCGTGAAGCAGATCAATGCGTACGTGTAGCAATTGGAATGAGAGGATAGTGACGTTGACGACACTGAATTTGTGTCTTCTGTCGATGTCGTCACAGCTCTCACCATATTCTACAGGATATTGTAAAAAGCGAGAAGGAGTCGTCAAAGAAGATGGCGTTGAAGAAGCTCCAGCGAGAGCAAAAGCTGCAAGGAGAGCCGCCAGTGCGCGTGGCTGGAAAGAATACGTAAGTAGTAGTTGTGTACGAGATGAGGTTTGGATGATGTCTGTTAGACCGTCGCGATTGACCGCTCTGTTCTTACGTTATCTATGACGTGCAGTAAACTGGACCGCAAGATGCCGGTCTCCTTCTCTGAGGAGCTCATGGGCAACTTTCGGACTTTGAAGCCTAAGGGTCACCCCCTCTTGGATCGCTTCGACAGTCTACATAAGCGCAACCAGATCGTCATCGGTCGCCCGACTAAGACGCGCAAAGCCCGAGTCCGGATCATTGACGTGAAGAAATAAAGCGAGCATGGACTGCTGCTATGCGCAAAGCGAGACCCGCGTGGTTGCGCTGTGACAGGCGTTTTATCTTTCTACACTCATCACCTGTGTTCTTTTACGATAATGATAGGATCACCTACCTTATTTGTTGCCCCTCTCTCGCATTTATTTGATGCATGATACATGTCACGTGTCTGTTCGGCCGTAAAATAAGGAAGGCTCTTTACTATAAAGCTACTGAGTTAATTTCATAAATTGAGATATCTCCATGCAATATAAAAAGGAAATTGCTAAATTCACACCCCTTTTCCTTAGATTCACACCCTTCCTTCAAAATCTTATAGACAAAATCCCTATTCATTTTAAGATTTGTTTTCTGACAAAGGTATTACTCGATAATCTAGGCCATTAATTGGCAAGTTATACGTAATAAATACCGAAGATACTACTCACGCCTGTGGTCTAGCTCCTCCAGCGTTTACTGATAGGGCACCACGCAATAACATGCTTCCTCCTCCCGAGGTTGAGTATGCCGGTCGGGAGCAACTTATGGATACTGTGCAGACGTTCGCACGTGGCCAAGGCTATGCTGTTACGATTAAAAAATCGATTGCAGGAAAGCATGTCTACCTTAAATGTGATCGAGGTGCCGTAAACGTACCAAAGGTTGGAAAAGAGCGCCAACGCCAGACCAGCTCACGCCGAATTAATTGCCCGTTCCTTTTAATTGGAAATTTCTCCAAAAAAGGGGTAATTGGAAGCTAAACGTGATGAATGGATGCCACAATCACGAGCCGTCACTCCATCCGTCTGGTCACTCGGCTCATAGAAAGCTAAATAGCGAGCAGGCCGATACTGTCAGAAATATAACATTGGCTGGTTGTAACGGGGCACCCTGAAGCTTGTACTGGTGACAGTACAAGCTACTTATTCTGATGACAGAATAAGGCGGTGCCTCGTAAATTCACGTACACTCGTACGTGCAGAGGAAGACGGTAAGAAGAAGCGAGTACTTGGTTAAAGTAAAAAGTAGAACTGTATTTAGTATAGTTAATGTCTGCGATAAATCACTATTTATCTTCATCTAACTATGTCTGAATACAAATGTGCATATCAACTATCTGCTCACCACTCATTGCGTGCGTCTGTCGTGGCGCGTCTTCGTTGGTTGATATAATGGCCTATATCAACCAATTACTCGTAAGTGCTACAGAATATTCGTCCTTATGACAATACTCTGAGAATATAACTCTTATAGTTACATTCTATTAACAATTTCTTATAAATTGTTATGTAACGGTTCACCCCGTTACATCACCCCACCCCCTTAGCCATCAGTCACTTTAGTGACTGATTGACTAAATGGATACTCGTCCCAAATCATTTGGGACAGGGTTTGCACTTGTTGGTCCGAGTCCACTTTCCAACAGTTCATCGCATGGTTGACAAGCCCATGCGATGCGCGAGCAAGGCCGCCGAGAGCGCGTCCGCACGTCTCTGCTCGGACGCCGAAGCAGAAACCGCAGCAACCGATGTCTCATCGGTTGCTGAAGCGACCCAGCCTGTGTCACCTGGTGATGCAGGCGCTCGTCATGATGACACTCATGTCTTCACAGAGTATGAGCTCGGTGTCTCATACTCTCCTGATACGGAAGACGGATCCGTATCGACGGCGATTGAATTCAAGCCGCCTGCCAAGCGTGGCATGGATGATGCTATGCGTCGCAGCATCTTTGGTTCATCTGATGAATTAGATGAAGCATCGCCGAAGCGAAGGCGCTCGAAGTCGCAAGACTCGGGCGCTCACAGTGGTGTCGGTTCTCCTGTTGACACCACTTCGCAACGAGGTGCCAGTACTTCTGTCGGCACGTCGCAGGAAGAGCGGGACCGCAATGTCTTGCGTCTCGCTCCTGAGAAGCAGGCATGGATGCCTCCAAAATCTGTCATGGATCACTTGTCGGCGACGACGAGTGATCGTTATCGAACACGGTTGTTCTATTCGTCAAGGATCCATCACCTTTACCCCAGCGCGAAAAACTATCGCGCTGAGAATGAATTCTTCATCGATGCTTTCTTTAGACATCGATGGTACAGTGGGAATCACAAGCGTGATGGTCCCTCACTGCTTCAGGCGTGGAACGCCTATATCCATAACCTTGAGGATGTAGGTCGTGACGCTTGGAATGACAAACTTATCAAAGCTCGTGATAAGTTTGAAAAGCGAACCCCGACAGGCGCACGCTACAAGCTGCATCGTCTGTCAAGGGAGAAGGGATTACCCTGTCTCTCCTGGGGAGACTCGTGCCCATGTTGTGTGAACAACTCTGCGCGAGCACCTAAGGAGTCTTACCTCCTTACCAGCCCGTGGTGGCGCGTACGTATCTTTAGTGAGATGTACGAAGGGATTGACAACCTGAAATCCCTTTACAACCGTGCCGGGAAGACTTTCTCCAGCGGTCCTTCTGCGGCACAGGATGTGCCGCGTCGTTCTGCTCGACCAGACCCAGTACTTCAACCATCAGTTGGGAGCGGGGCTCCCAAGTATCCCAGGACGGGGGATATCCGCGCCACCGGACGAGATAACTCGTCCGACGTCCGTTCACGTCGCGGTGGTTCAACAGCTGCTCAACTAGAAAGCGCTGGCCACCGCGAGAGTCCTCTAATGGAGGTGGAGGAGGAGAAAAGACGCTCTCCACACGATCGTGGGGATCCGTGTGTTCCCGAGGGTGACATCAATCTTTTCTTCAGTGAGGACTTCCTCGCTCTCACTGGCATCATCTTCTTCGATATCGATGTTATCGATATCGGCATCAAACGCAATGACCTCTTCGTCAGAGCGTGATGAGCGTGAACCAATTCGGTTTTTGCTCGCGCGATCCCCCCCTTAAACCAGAGTTACACTCTAATAAGGTGGGTACACGCGGATGGCGCAAACCATTCACGTAAAACGGTGCATGTGTCGTGGACGCATGCACCGAGTTGTTAATGGCAAATTCTACCATTGGCAAGAACTCACTCCAACTCTTAAAGGAGTGTACGTATCCTCGAAGTATCTCTTCGAGGACACGATTGGCACGTTCCGTCTGACCATCTGACTCTGGATGATCAGACGTCGACATCTTCAAGCGCGTTCCGAGTGATTTGAACACGGAACGCCAGAAATCAGCAGTGAATCGTGGATCTCTGTCTGATACGAGTTCACGGGGCAACCCATGAAGTCGGAAGATGGTGTCAATAAAGACACAAGCACAGCCACTTGCCGTGATTGACTCTGGTACAGCCACTAGGTGTACCATTTTGCTGAATCTGTCAACAAATACGAGAATACCCGTATTCCCGCGTGCGTCTTTGGGTAACCCGAAGACGAAATCCATTGAGATGGATTCCCAGCACTCAGCCGGAACCGGTAGAGGCTGTAAAGGTGCACGCAGTGAAGGACTTGACTTCACTCGTTGACAGACTTCGCATGCGCGAACATACTTTCGCACAAACTGATACTGGCGGGGCCAGTAAAAGTCTCGACTCACCGTGAGATATGTCTTCTCACGGCCACGATGTCCTCCTATAGGAGCATCGTGATACTCGAACATGATCCGCAAACGCAGATCAGTATCATCTGGAATGACAACACGTGGCGTGTCACCAGAAACGGCTGTATAATACAGTAAACCATTGCGAGTAGTGTATCGATCTGATGCAGATCGATACGCAGACGACAATCGTTTCAACGATTCTCGAGATGGTTGGAAGAGATGTGTCAACAACTTCACAATCTCACCATCTTGGGCACATGCCCGCCTCATATCATCATGTAACGTTGAAGATGGTACTGAGGACGTCATAACCGCAACAGTGACTGTCTCACTGTTGGGTTTCGCGACTGGTTCAAAGTCGGGACGACGTGAGAGTGCATCAGCGACGACATTAAGTCGTCCTGGTTTGTACTCGACCGTAAAGTTTTATTCCGCAAAGAATGACAACCACCGCGCCATTCGTTGTGAAAGTTGCGGGCTGTTCACTGCCGTGCGTAATGACGCATGGTCAGTGTAAACAACGAAGGGTCTATCTCCTGATAGATAGACTCTGAACTTCGCTAGTGCATACTTCATGGCAAGGAGTTCCTTGTCATGCACTGGATAGTTCCGCTCAGCTGGTTGCAGCTGACGCGACTGATAGCAGACGACGCGTTCAACGCCTTCAAGATCGTACTGCATTAATGCACAGCCGATTGCAAAATCGCTGGCATCACAGACCACATGAAATGGCCTGTCTTGATCGGCTATTGTTAGGACTGGGGATTGTATCAAGCTCTGCTTGATACCATCAAAGGAGCGATGACATTCAGCGTTCCATAGCCACCTCTCGTTCTTTTTCAACAAACGAGAGAGGTGCACAGTCATCTCGGCGTAATTGCGTGAATACTTATGCAAATACGCCGCTAGCCCAAGGAATTTTCGAAGACCTTTGACATCAACCGGCACAGGCCAGTCGGTGATCGCCTTGATCTTTTCGGGATCAGGACGTACACCGTTCTTACCAACGATGCACCCAAGAAGTGGTATTTCTCTTGCTGCAAATGTACACTTCTTGAGGTTTGCATACAATTGATGCTTTTGCATGATTGTGAGAACCTGTCGGACGTGGTACCTGTGAACCTCAACATCCGACTTTCCATCCATAGCCCGATTATGGATGATTACGTCATCGAAATAACTCGGCGCAAGTTCTCGTACTGGTCTCAACAGATGTGATACACATATGTTGAACGTGGCAGGGCCATTACTAAGCCCTTGTGGCATTACTAGCCATTCCCAGAGCATGCCGCTAGGCGTGCTGACTGCGGTATAGGGTATATCCCGTTTCCGCATAAGGATTTGATAGAAGCCATCCATCAAATCCATGGACGAAAAGATGGTACTCTTTGGCTTGCCATCAATGATTACGTCCTTCCTTGGTATCGGCGTCTGAGCCGGTACCGTTGCAGCATTCAACTTGTTAAATGCATGCACAATCCGCCACCC